ACAAAGACTACTCCAACCACAACCATCAAAACAACTACAAAGACTACCACAAAACCAACTACAACGACTACAAAGACCACAACTACAACGACTACTCCAAAGACTACTACGAAACCAACTACAACAACAACTACAACTACAAAGACTACTACTACTACAAGAACAACTCCAAAGACTAGACCAACAACAACTGCAAATACTCCATCGCAAACCACACCGAAGACTACTTCAGCCACAACTGCAAAAACTTCATCCCAAACAACTTCAAAAACTAGACCAACAACAACTGCAAATACTCCATCACCAATAACTGCAAGTACTACACCAAAAACAACTCCACAATCGACTCAACGTACATCAACGTATTCCACACGATCGACCCAACGTACGTCAACGTATTCTACACAATCAATATGTTACGTATGTAAACATTGTCCAAAACCGTTTAGAACACATAGTATTATGGTGTCAACTGCTATTTCTCCAAATGGATGGTGTGCTGTATGTATTTTTATTTTGTATTACGATATGAAAATAATTTTTTCTTTTTAGAAAATGAGTACGTCTTCATCTTCGAATGCAATTGTTGATCGAGATATTGATTCAGGTGTTTGTGCTCATTATAATTATAATGGATGTGAATGGAGATTAGTTAATAATGTTCATACATATACTTGTTGTTGTCGTGACAATTATTGTAATACAGCTCTTCCAAGTTCTAAATCGACTATTTACTTTATATTTTTATCGTTGACAATTCTTTTTTTATCAAAAACTATTTATTAATTTAATTTAGTATATTTGAGAATGTTTTTCTATTCACAATTCCTTTTTTAAAATGACGCGTAATTAAAACTGTTTAGAAAACTTTAGTTAATTTTAACATATCGCTTTTTATGAATGTATTTATTATATATAAATAAAGCATATTTATATAAATCTATATAATTATTTAAAATTTGTATTCATTTTTTTTAAAGACAATATATTGAAGAGTTTTAATTATAAATTTAAGACACTATTAACAAGTGCATAACTAATTAAAGTAATTAAAAAATAAAATTCTTGTTAAATATTTACTACCGTATTCGAGATTTCAATCGTTCGTTCTCAAAGTTTTAGAAGTAACATTTTCTGATTATATTTTTGCATAGAATGATTTTGTTTCATTTTTATATTCTTAGTGTATAAGAAAATGATCATTACAAATTCAATTTTATAAACGAAAACATCATCATTTTGGATATATCTCTCGATCAAAACGAATGAGACTCGTAACACATGCATTGTTATTAATCCTATTCACTTCAAGTTTATTATTCTTTCTTGCTTTTTTTCTCTCTTCATTGTAATTTACTTAATAAGTTAGACATTACATAAATCAATTTTGAGTGTTTGATCAAAAAGCCGCATTATTTGCGAGAATCTCTATAAATATTGAGGATATAGGTGTGGCTCTATGTCAATACTCACACCTACCACACCCACCACACCACACCCTCACATCCTCAATTCAACATGTAATAAAATTCTTTACAGAACTAAATTAGAAAACAAATAAAATGAGAACATAAAAATCAGAAGGTGTACGAAAGTTTTTTTTACAACAGACACTATTTCATTGTGCTATATTTCTTTTATAATTTCTTTGCAATGTAAAAAGTCAAGTATATATGTAGAAAATATAAAATAAGTTGTCTAATAGTAAGTCTCAGTTGAGTTTTTGTTCACATGTTATTAAGAAAACATCATACGATGGATCATTACCATTTGCGCGGATTATATCTTCACGGCCATCGCCATTAAAATCACCAACACCAATCCAATAAGATCTACTCTCGAATCTTGTTGGGAATACCGTTTGTAATTCGAAATCTCCGTTCCCAAATCCAAATAATACATTTAATGATCGCCCTGAGTTACCAAAACCAATATCTAGATATTGATCGTTATTGAAATCAGACACAATAATTTGATTGGGTTCTGTATAAGTTCCTATGATAAACATCTTGGCATCACCTACGCTGCCGTTCCCATATCCAAACATCACATTAATATAGTTTGTATTTAAATAGGAGACAGCAATATCTAGTATATTATCACTATTAAAATCACCGACAGCAAGATCAAATGGATATTGCTCACCACCCCCAGTAAAGGATGTCTTTTGTGGTTCAAACTTATTACTACCATCTCCAATGAATATACCAATATTTTTAGCATCCCTATTGACGACAGCAATATCTTGATGATTATCACAATTAAAATCAGCTACAACGATGCTTAATGGATAACTATTTACGCCAGTTCTACCCGGCAACCATATGGTAAAAGATCCATCGCCCTTACCAACGAATAAATTAAACTGGTTCCTCTCATGAAAGGTGACAGCAATATCTGAGTAATTGTCATTATTGAGGTTCCCTATACTGATTGATTCTGGGATAAAGTACGCTCCTGCGTTGAATTTTTCTTTTATTTCAAAAGTTGCGTCGCCGTTTCCAAGAAAAATAACTATATAGTAGTTGTTAGGATTGGTAACAGCAAGATCAAGTATATGATCATTATTGAAATCGCCAACAGAGAGTTTTTTTAAGCCCTCAACTTGCTTTTGTAGAGATACGATCCTAGCTCCAAAAGTCCCATTGCCATTCCCAACTAAAACATTCATACTCCAATTTTGATTATCCACAAAAGCAATATCGAGTCGATTATCACCGTTAAAATCACCAATAGCATGTCCTTCTATATACTCAAGATGCCATTGTCTTTCGATTGTTATTGATTGAATTTTTAACTGACAAGTTGATTCTAATAGAAAAAGAACGAAATGATTGGATAAATTATGCTTAGTTTTGAAGTGAGAAGCATTCAAAGCAGAAGGGTGTGGGTGTGGCTGTTTTTTTTTATTCAGTTGCATTCACACTCACACCCTCAATATTTAGATTAAAAAGCATTTTCGTTGAAGATAAGCTCATCAAGAATCAGATGTTTGGCTATTTTACTTATTGAAAATATAAGTGAAAAGAACAGAAATCATTTCATAGTACTCACTGTTTGTAGTTGTAACGGTCATCATTGTACTTGTTATTGAATTTTTCATAGTAGCAGTTACGATACTTATTGTTGAGTCTGCTAAGGAAGTAGTTCTTTTACTTATTGTAGAAGCTAAAAAGAAATATTTGATGAGTGTTCGTTTAACGATACATTCTGCCAAAAATACATAAAAAATAATATAACTGGAGATGTGATGTTGCTAGATAAATAGCAAAACTATATCTATATTCACGCAATCTTACGAAAGTTTAATAGATTCAATAAAATCCATTGGCATTAGTAGCTATTTATGAGAGTCGTACTAACAATTTAAAATCATTCAATAGTTAGAACAAGCGAGAGTATCGTTTGCATTCCTCGCCTATATCGTATGATTCTAATTGCATGTTTACATAGAAATATACAAAATCTTCCTGGATTGATATGTTTTGATAAACATTTTCTTTGTTGAAAATAATAGTGAGCCTCTAATTTGCGTGAATGAAGTAGATAGAATATTAGATAATATACTATAGAAAGAGTGTACTTATTGACCTACCTTGATTCTTGCTTTGTTGAGCAATAACAATAGAAAATATAATGAGAGATGTTATTATGCATAATATAAGTATACATATTAAGATGATCTTGAGATAATATCGAGTTGATCGAACGACATTTGCTCTAAAGAACAATAGATGTAGATTTTCAAGCAAATGAAATAAAAGAAGATATACGAAGGTGTTGTATTCGTTGTTGTTAATTCTGAATTTGAAGGAGAAGTTTGAGTATTTGTATTAATATTTTCTATTGTTCCAGTATCAGCTAAACCAGTAGGTTGAATAGTGTTTATATGTCTTTTTCGATATCGATATACTTTAAATACAATTCGGACTATTTTTGGGCAGATCCAGCCAAGTATAATTGCTAAACCACCTTGAAGACCAAATAGATGAGTTATTATAGAGAGAAAGGTAGTTTGTTGAATATTAGTATATGAACATGACAAGGGAAAACATTGCTCAAAATAGGATGAATAACTAATTGTTGTTTTCAATTCTTCAATGAAAAGACTATTGATAAGTTTATCTATTGTAGTATTTATTGGAAATCGACTATTATTTGTTGCGAGAGACTTAAGAGGATTTGTTAAATTGAATCGACTTGGTTTATTAGCAAATTGTTGAATGAGATCTATACATGATTGATTATAGAAGCACTCAAGCGTTGAAGCACGAAATGATTCACTGGGTGTACAACCTATTTTTAGACCTTGGATCGAAATGTTCGTTGAAGGATCTGATTCAATAAAATGTGCTTGAGTTGTACAATTCATATGTAATCCACAAGAACACTCATCATCATAGATCAAAGCTTGAATAGGTAAATAAGCTCCATTTATATCGTCCCAAGGAGCTATATACTCAAAGTTTGTTCCATATAGTGATATAATAGCATTTCCATGATAGATACTTTGCATTAAGGAGAGAAGATCAGTGAGTATTGTTGAAGAATTCAATTCTTTATGTTGGATTATCGAATTGAGTTGTATACCAAAATTTTCCTCTGATAAAACTTCGATCATCGAAAACAGTGAAGAGAGAAATCCTTGAATAGAAATGTTTGCTGCTTGTTTAGAAAGTTGACATAATCCTTGAAGAAATTGTAAATGAGCAGAAAGAAAACGACGATAATCCTTCAGTGTATAGTTGGAAAGAGGACGCTTTTCTGAACCCATGGAAAGTTTAGAAATAAGATTAGCTGTAAGACTGAGTCGTCCTTCTTCTGAAGCAAATGGACTTGAACAGATCTATAATCATCGAAAAAGAATAAAATCTAAATTCAGTAATTGTTTAAAGATTAATAATTGAAACAATTTTCTTATATGGCCTCGTTTTTAAAATAGAAAAATATTAAGTAAAAATGTTCTATGTAAATCTATCCATAATCTTTTGAAAGTTTTATCTTGATAAGATTAAAATGAATTTATTTTTACCTCATGAAATACTGGTTCGATTTTTACAAATCGTTCGTATGTTGATGCGATTGATGAACATGGACATTTTAATTTGTCTCCATATTGTTCATATAGCTGCTTGGTTAAATTCGAAGATGGTTGATCAAACATTTTTGTATATGTCTCCTGACCAATATTATAGAACATAATACTAATAAGAGTAACCAAGAATAAAACTATATATAAACGAGTAGCCCATTGACCAAGACGTTTAGCAGTTAACTGATCAACATCACTACCAAAATCTCGTAACTTGAAAATGTTCAGATCTATCAGCTTTGTATACAAAAATCTGAACAGTTTCTGTATGATCATTTTCACTTTGGTACATTTTTTGACATGAACTGTAGATAAAAAGACAAAAATTGGGTTCAAAATCATTATATACTCAACTATGGTTATGCATTCGATATTAAAAATTTCTTAATGAACTCTAATCCTCCTCACAGGATGCAGTGAATCGTCATAGTGTAAGTAATAAAAAGATAGTAAGTGCATTCTTTTATATGGAAATGTACGTTGTGTATATACTGCTGTTTTTATCCAGTAACCATAACTTCTATTAACACTACAAATAATATTTAAACAGTTAATATTAGTTTTCTATCAGATCAGGATTTTATTCTAGCTTAGTTCATGTTACGGTATGTTCAAATATATATGAAATCTTATTGTTTTTGATAAGCGTCACACTAATAATTACCTTGTTGTTGTGTTCTATTGATTCTGCCAATTAAGTAAAAGATAAAGCTGACTAGAAGAGGTGTAATGAGTCGTAATGCGAAAGTAAGACCACCGATCATTGAAATCATTGTTATGATTACTTCAGCAATAGTTTTTATGTGAACTCGCTCGGAATAAGTACAGAAACTTGGTGCACATGATTTGTAAAATTGATCATACGGATAAGATGGATTCCATCGTTCGATTGTCATATTTTTGATTATTTTAGAAATTGATATATTTGGAGGAAAACGACTTGATGTTGTATTATAAACAAGAGGACGAGCAACAAACCATACTGGATTTTTAACATTATAGAAATACTGCTTTTTAGTGAAATCCATTAGAATGGGTAAACAATCTGAGTGCTCATAATAGCATTCAAGTGTCGAAAGCATTAGGGAATTAGTAGCTGAACAAGATACAACCGAACCTGGTACTTTATAAAGTTCCTTAAGAATTGGAGGGTACAACCACCCATGATCAACCTCATAAATACGTGCTGGAACTTGACAAGAAATATTAAAGGCACAGATGCAGTTAAAGTATGTCGATTTCGTAGTACGTGGTCCAGTCAAATTAAATACTAACTAAAACGAAAGTGAAGATCTGTATTGCATCATTGATAATACATCCAAATTATGTTTTTACTCGTAAGACTAGAAAATACTCTGAATAGCTGGATTCAGCAAAAATTCTTTCTTATAAAAAAAGGTTCGTCTCCTGATTCTTCGATCTTTTGATGAATTTTTTGAAACATAATCTGAAAAAGTGTTCAAAAGTATAGGGATAGGAATCTCAATCTATTATACTCCACCCATTTTTTCTCCTACAGAGACGACAGATATTCGTAGTATTGACTTTCCACAGCCCGAGATACATCAGTAAAGTCTTTTCTCTCTTATTAAATTCTTATACGGACATATTCAAAACTGTGTGAAATCGAATAATTCTAACATAGTATCATTATTAGAAGAAGAAAAAAAACAATATTGTTGTATGTCGAAATAGCAATACCTTTATGGTCGTTCTGTTATTCGTTTCATTTGTTGCGAATATCCAAATAGGATTTTCGTCTTCATGTAATTCCTCACCATCACCGTCTACGCCAAAATAAGGCTGATCGACTTGAGTGAGAATTTGTTCTGTTTCGACAAGAAGACCAAAGTATAAAATTGTCGATTGAAAAAATTGATCGAGAATTGCACTTAGTTGCACGTCAAAATCAGATTGATTTAGTGCATTCGAAGCAATGAAAGGTTGCAAGAGAAAATGATGTATAGCGTCATTGATTGTTTTATTAGCTAGCTGACAAAGATTAGATAATAAAGAAAATGTTGAGAAAGCTTTATTGCGCCAATCTGCAGAATTAGCCTTAATCTTGCTATTTTGCATTATTAAAAGCCATTTATTAGTAACAAAATCACTTGAACATACTTGATGTACGACTGGAGACAATGTAATGAATGTTCCATGAGGTATTATCATATTAGAACATGGACATCTTAGTGTTTGTGAATGTTTATTTTGTAAATCTTTATAAGTGGTTATTGATGGATGAGCTACACGTGTTGTAGTAATTTTAGTGCTCAATGAAGTGTAGAGTAAAATAGTAAGAAATGCACCTAGTAATATAAATTAAAAAATCACAGAAAAATATAAATATATTTTTAATAGTAGAAGCATGTTTAAGACTATACAACTTCAAGAAAACCAAAAAAATGGGGTGTGGGTGAGTGTTATACTCCGTCTAGTGCTCAACCTCGCTCACACCCACTTACGACTAAAGACTAAATCTCTAATTAATAAACTTATTTCTATATGAAGCAATAGTAGCAACGTATATAGAACAAGTGAACATACCAGTTAATAGAATCAAATAGATTCGTGTAGTAATCTTCTGTTTTTTTATATCATTTTCTGTTCGTTGCTTGACATTCTTAAACAAATTCAATTTCTTCAGATACTGTGCGAATTTGCGAATTAGTGCCTTAAGAGAAACTAGAAATTATTTATAAAATATATAGTGAATAAGACTATTTTTAGTAGATTTAAAAGTTACCGCAAGAAATGTTCATGTTTCTTGAAGAACATTTCAGATTTAGACAACTGGTGACTAATAATGGTGTAATTAGACGAAGTATGATAATAAGACCACCATAAAGACTAATAAACAGAGTTAATCCATTGACAAAATTGGTTCGTTCTATTGTTATGTATGTGCAAGATGAAGGAGCACATTCATCAAAGTATTTCGAATAGTTTGTTTCTGTTAACCATTGTTCAATGAAAAGATCAAGTAAATAATCGTGGACAGAAATATTTTGTCGCTTTGAAAATAAAACAGAATTGGTCCAATTCAAATGCATCTAAAAGAATTATCTAGACAATATGTGATAGTATAATGTTCATACTTGTTTCGTATTTGGAAATTGATTTGTTAATATTTGTAGACATGTAGTATTATACAAACAATCGAGTGTACTGTCTAGAAGAGCTTCAAGAGGAGTACAACCAGCAAAGAATCCGTTGACTATAGTAGTATTTGATTCAGGGCTTTTCCATTCTATATGACTTTCAAATGACTCATTGTGTGAAATCGATAGGAAGCCAGCTGCGACCTTTGGATTTTTATAACCACAATATTCATATTCTTTAATCAAAGAGGCGTTAATAGATTTTTTAAGACAACGTGTTTGTTGACTGTAAATTTTGTACCCTACTCCGCTGAACCCTCGTGTCCTATTACGTACTCCAATCAAGAAGTTTGTATTGAGAGCCGACACCATGAAGTTTGCGCGAATCGTAGCTCGGAAATAGTTCAAGAATGAAGTAATTCGGGTCGATGCATTGTTTTTGAAAAAATCAACTGTGGCATTCACTTTTTGTTCGATTTGAATTTCAGAAAGAAGATGACTGTTGATAAGTTTATAGTTATCCAAATCAAGTTGATTTTGATAGACTGTATCTTGAGAGAGAGAACACAGAGAAGCCAAAATTCGAAACTAAATGAAAAAGATATTAGCCCAAAAAAATTATCTCAGAAGGTGTGAGTAGCTGTGTGCGTGCGTATAGATGTAGGTATGACTCTTCTCTTTAGATTAAGAAGAGACTTCCACCCACACATCTTTCAAATAATGAAAATGAAATTATAAAATTTGCATAAGAATAACTAGCACGCGAAAGATATACAAGTTCTAAAAACGAAGCACTAAACACTTTAGAGGTAAACTTAAATAATTAAAATTTTTGCAAGTGACCACGAACTTTTTGCTCAATCTAATACATACATTTGAATGTAATTATTGGACAAAGGTGTTTTTACTATATTCTCTAACTGGATGTGAGTGTGGGTGTCTACTCTTTCTATTTACTGCCACGTCCACACCCACACCCTCCATGGTTTGCTAATCCTATAATCTTCGATATCAGACCTAATGTGTGTTCTGACTACAATGTACTTCTATGTATCGATTATTACTTTGGAGACTAGTATATGAAGATGAACTACCAGTATTTTTTTTCGCATAGAAGTATCATATTTTTTAAAAACTTTGATTTTTTGCAAAAACAAGTCGGGAGACAAAGGATTTACATCATATAGTGATACAATCCGAAGGAACTTCACTTTGACGAATAGAAAGATATTTGTAGAAGTAAATATTGACTCACTTGAGAATAAGCTGTTGTTCGAAAGTCTCCTGTTCCGTATGTATTTGCATCTTTGAAATACAATGTTTCAATCCATTGTTGATCGACAAAAATACTTTTACAAACAGGATGAAATATGGTTTTATTAGAGACAAAAGCTTTAAAAGGCACTTCCACTTTTGAACATGAACATGAAAGAGTATCAGAATGTTCACGATTAAGTTGATTGAAGACAGCACGAGTAATATTATATTTAGTGATCGTTTGAGATTCTGGTTTCACAATAGCAATGTAACAAAGAATGTAGAGAGACACTATAAATAAATGGGAAAGAATAAAAGTTATTGATATTGTTATAAATTCTTTCGTAAATAATTGCATTATTATTTGGTTTAATTAAAAAACAAATATAAATGAAATTAGATAAAATGAAAAGGTTATTTACATAGAAAATAAAGAACATAGCAGAAATTAAGATATGAGATGATGATCAGTATTCTAGTGTGCCGTTATTTTTTGTTGAGGAATAAAAACTATCTCAAGAAAGTTTTATAAATCTTGATGGTAATTTAAGAAATAATCTTATTACTATCAACAATATTGAACAAGAGGATTATGACAGAGTATCTATGGATTGCCACTTCTTTATATCAGAAATTTTTGGGTGTAAGTGAGGGCTATTCTTATCATATATTTAATTCTATACTCATGAATATAAAAGCTTCTCTCATCAGAAGAAATACTGATTAAGGGAAATCCTAATTAGTCTTGAACAAGTCGAAAGCAAGTTTTCACTTTATAAAACTATTAGTATTAAAATTACAATCCACTCGTATATGTGGAAATATCTGAAGGTTCATTCATGTATCTCTAATTAACTTTCAATTACTTCCTATAAGAATAAATATGGAACAAGATTTATCTATCTTAAAATTTAGTTCTCAATTTATCAATAGATGTATATATATTCAAAAGGTCATGAATAACTAAGATTTTACTTACCCATGAAAAGAAAAATGTACAACCATGTTGTATATTTCTGATGTCTGAGAACAGTAGCTGGATTATTTTGTTCATTATCATCATCGTCGTCGTCATAATCATCTTCCTCTTTCATAAAAAGATTGTAGTTACTTATTCGGTTATAAGACCAACTAGGTACACCCTTCAATTTCATCATTCTGATAAATAAATTAATTCAAAGAATCAATGTTCTATACAATTTTGTATTGATCTTGTAATTTTAAAATCAATTGAAATATTTTATTCTAGAAACAATAGAATTTTTACGACAACAGTAATAGAATTAACGATAAAATTAATACATAATTTCCAAAGAAAACTTCTCAATAACTAAAAACTAAGAGAGAAGAAGAACCTATATTTGAACAATTTTGATTAGTCACATTGTAAACAGATGTTTATTATTTTACATGTGCAACTTTGAATAAGCTATGAGTCTAGAAGCACAAAAAAAAAATAAATCATTCAAATAACTGAGATCTTTGTGTGATAAAAATACTCACTTGAAAATTGCAATAACTATCAAATGATATTTGTTGTTTTAAAGAACTTTTGTATAAGATTAATAATCAAATTTTTTTTCTAGAATAAAGAAGAAAAGCAAAATTTACTAAACATCATGAACAAGAAAATCAAGTATAAAAATTATATTTTTATATTATTCATTTATTAAAACGAGTTGTATTTCTAGATGAACAAAGATCATCTTCGACATAGAACGTTTTCGACAAAATAATTTCAACTAACCGTTAGATCTAATTAATAAAAAATGATTAAGTGAAAAAGAATCAATGTAGAAAATAACCTACTCATGCCATATGTTTCTTAAATTAAAAAGAAAAATAACGAGAGAGAATATCATTTTATGTAACATTATGATATTATATTCTCATGTTTTCTATATGTACTCATTGTTTTTTATTTTCTTCTCTCTCTCTTTCTCTTTGACATCTGTTAAAATAGATATGAATAAGATTCAATGCATTCAAATGAGAATAAAGATTTATTTTTATTGAGATAATCAAATTCTATGTCGATACTTCTAATAATTATTTATCTGATCGATGAGACATTCATTGAATAATATATAATAGATGCTGAACTAAAAATATTTTCGAACTTCTCAATGGTTTTAGATTGACAAATCATGATATTTTGTTGATTGTTTTTACTTTCAGGAAGTTCTAGGTTTGCTTTAAAAAAGATCTGATATTAAATGTGTTTTTAACAATAATCATGTAAAATAACTAACTAAAACAGTTTATCTTCACATTATGTCTATATAATTTCAATATTTTTATTGTATTTTGAAATCATAAAAGATAAACATTTACTTCTAATGCTACGCTTTTTAACACTTTCCTAGCTACTGAATGCAACTTGAGTTTACTTTTTACATATAATTTCCATATTAAATATATTGTTAAAGTTTTAATATAAAGTATTCGTATAAATAATTCAAATTGTATTAATGAAATAAGCATCTTTTTCTATAATTATCTTATTTATGTTTAATATCGGATGAATAGAGATTTTATGTAAGAAGTTGATTATTTGCAGAATAGATGTACAGTTTCTTCATCTAATTAAAAATTAATGTCGCTATTTTAGTAGAATTGCTTTTTTTTTAGCGAAAATCCATCCATTTTCATTTTTTCATATTTATGTGAATATTCATGCTAAATACTCTTACTTCTATCATATACGTGATACTTGAATTTAACTATTGTTTTAACTATTCTCTAGAAATAAGAAGGATGAAAGCACACAAAATAAGAGTCCAGGGGATATCTTGCATTGGGAGACCACAACTAAAGGTGTCGAAGAGGAAGAAGCAAAAATGAATAATTGAATAGATCTTTTAATTTTCAAACTACTACATTTCTAAAATATTCTACTCAAGCATTAGATTCAATTACATAGTAAGATATATTCTGATGAGAGTCTAATTCTTTTTCGGTAGAAAACGCACATGATTGTTATGTTCATTTATTGAATTTATCAAATAAAAATTAACTTGTAGGAAAATAATCTCACATATGTAACAGTAATAAATAGAATATATCAGTTTTGACAAATATCATTTCATTCTCTATTGTTTCTAATAAACGGAGTGTGAAAAAAACACTTTTTTTTCTTGCAGGAAACTTTGTATTTCCTTCAAAAAGTAATGATTTTGCATTATTTTATTAACAAGACTAACATGAGATATTATTTAAAACAATCTGCTTTTGAATTCTACTTCAAAAGTTTTTACCATTAATCGTGTTAACAGCCAATGATAATTTTCATCTATTATGATATTATTTATAATTGATCTTCAGAATAAAACACTCTCATTGTTTTTATTTATCAGTAATTTCAATGTTATGTATTACTTCATTAATATAATAAAGATCAGTTTTACCGATGTTATGGTTAATTACTTTTGAATATGATTAGAGGAAAATTTTGTTTGTGTTAAATTTACACAAGAAAATATAAAACAACATTGAATCATTTGTAAACTATGAGGGTGTGGGTGTGGATGGGCGTGGGTATTATCCTCTTCACTCTCGCCCACCCTTCCCAGGTCAAACAAGCGCGATCGTAAACGATCATATACGGAGACATACGATTGTAATACGGCCTCAGGTAATATGGCAAAAAAAAGGTGAAATACGGTTGTATATAGCCGCCTTTTTTCCGGATACGATCGTATTCAATCGTTTACGAAGTTCGTAATGATCGACCTGGGTTTAGTTGCATCGAACACTGGCAAGAAAAAGAAATGATCTGAACATCTACGAAAGTGAAACTGCAGTTCGGATTATCTTGATGAAGCAGAAGAGCAAAGCTACAAATGATGATGAAAAATACAAAATCGAAAGACAAATTCGAAATATCGATAAACAACTTCAGGAAGTAGCAACAAGTATCGTGATCGCTAGCGATTTATCGAATGCATATGAAAAAGCACAGAGTACGTTGAAATCTATTTTATTTCTTTTACATATATTTTTCTTTTTGTAGGCCATATAATATAAGAACGTGATAAAGATGATGAAGATGATGATTAACTTTTATTCATTTTAAAAACAAAAATAAAAACATTTTCTTTTTTTTTTCTTGTACTCCCCAGGACGATGGTTCCTGTCGGTTCCGATCCAAACCGGATAAATCCGGTCACCGGATCCGTTCAACGGGAATACCGCTTCCATGAAATCTCCGGAATGCCATGGAACCGGCTGTTTCCGTACCGGATTATTCGACCTGGGTCCTGTTTGTTTCTTTTTTACTCGTAGTTATGTTATGTTTATATTTTTTGGTGATATGCAATCAAATATAGGATATCATCACATTATTTCGAATTTATTCAAATGACATTTCTATATTAACGCAGGGTATTTTCCATTCCTTTGCATATGTCGACATATGATTTTCTTTCGTTCTCTCCTTCAGTTATAGTTCGTTCTTCTTGTGTTTCTCTCTCTATATATATATATTTTCTTCTTCGTTCGTTTCTTCACTAAAACGAAAAGGTTTTTTTAACCATAAACCACAAAACTTACAACATTATCTATTTTAAATATTAAATTTTTTTGCTTTAATTTATTGAATCGAAATTATGAGAAAAGAAATATATGATTATGTTTTGTCCCAATTACACAAAAAACAAGTAATGTAATAAGTTTTTCAATACCTGACATTATATAGTCATTCATCTTACAAATATACAAGATTCACAATTTCATTAATAATTTGTTCATATTAATACAATATCGAATAGCTGCAAAGTTTTTTGTAACTTTTTCGTTGTTAATCTGTTTTTATTTGATTTTGACGATGATCTTTTTAATTGCAGAGTAATTTATCTTTTTAAAAATAAAATAGTGATACTCAAATAAAGTCATGAAATGTTCAAATCTTTATTGTGTTCATAGTTCTTCACAACAATCAGCCACCAGAATTTCAAATACTGGCATTTTCTTCACTGTTATTCGCACAATTTTTAATAAATTACAATAACAATCGGATGGCAAATCTTTCAATTACAAAAATATTAGATGAAAGAAAAATAATTTGTTTTCCGAGGATTATCTAAGGGTTTGTGATGATTAATAGATTGAGATAAAGCTTCAGATATCATTGGAAAATAATTAGATGGAAGTCCAATAAACTCGGCTGAAAAATATGGTACAAAGATGATTCAAGTATTGACTAGCGAGCAATTGAGAACGCCACAAGTTTGAGGGTGGTGTGGGTGTGTTGGTGCATATTCGCTTGTATATACCCACAACCACACCCACACCCTCAAAAATTAGACAATATTTATAGTTAGAAATGGGTTCTAATATGATTCTATCGCATGAAATAATTATTTCATAGAATAGATAAATGACTTAATTGGAAGTCAAAATAGAATATTAAAGAAAAGAAAAACGATTAGTACTCAATCTTCACTTAGTTATAGTCTACTAGATATGATTAGTCAATAGAGAGAACTATAACCATGATTTTAATTACAATTATAGCGATGTAAAATATGTCGATTTTTTGAATAATTACATTTAGATGTGATTGTTGATGATTGTGGATATTATATTTGTCTCTCAATACTCTCCATACAACGGAGAGCTATTTAAGCTCTTTTAATCATTTTTCTTATTAGAGAAACAAAATTTCAGATTTGTTTCTTAATTTATAATTGAACATCTATACAGAGAAAATGAACATAAAAGAGAAGGCAGTTATATGAATGTTGAATTATTTTATCGACGCAATATCTTTTCAACAATAATTTGATATCTAACATAATTAGTTACTGCTTAACTCTATAGACATCCAAGTGAATGAAAAATAATAAAATATTTTTTTCTAATACATTCCTTTCTCTCAGGAAACGTCGCATTTCCTTCAAAAAGTGCTGATTTTCAATGTGTTTCTTTCTACTGAATCAATTTACTTTCGCATGCTACCGCGTAGATTTCAACTTTACAATTGATAACATTTTATTCAAAACTCATCTGAAACAAAATACAGTAAGCATCAGAATCATCCGCTCATTGTTATCTTTATTTTAAATGAAACAAATACATAAATATAAAATGAAAGATATCATTTGAGAATCTATTTCTTGATACTTAGTAATTTAAATAATGTCGAATATAGTTAATGATTCCATTAAATATAATTACAAAAATATGAAACAAATAAAAATGAGAAGAACTTCATTTGATTTCTAATGATTAATATTATTGAGACAATCATCTTCTCATTTATTAATAAATAAAAACAATCAGTCTATTTTCTTTTTCAAAACTGATATGAAATGTCAGAAGGCATTATTTGTTGTAAATATAAAAAATGTTCATGATATTGAAATTTTGTAGGAAGGATGTGAAAACAAAGTATTTCAGACAAAATTAAATGTTATTTTTATTAATAATATATTGAAAATCATACTTTTATAGAGAAAGTACAATGCTTCCTAAGGAATGAAATAAAACTTTTTTGATAAAAAAAATGTTTTTTTTTAGATTTTGTATTGAGTTGAAAGAGAAAGTATATCGACATTATATTCTGTCAGAAATTTACTGTACAATTGATTTTAGTTTTATTTCACACAGTAGATCAATGATAAAAATGTAGTTGTTTATCTTCAGAATGAGTTTTCGTCAAATACTATTCAACAATATGAATATCATCGAAACACATCAAATCTATGAGAAGTGAATACATAAACAAAAGAATTAGAATTATACAGAATACTATCACATTTAACAAAATCAACTGAAATCATAATTTTATTATCTTTTGAAACTGTTCATCATGAAGAATAATTATGATCAAACTAAGATATTAATTATTTTTTTTTATACGTTTTAGAAACGGGAAACATTGTAGAGAAGAAAAATAAAACAATGAGTTAGAAATGATTGACAAATAGAATACGAAAAATATTGTATATTGCCATAAACAAGAAAACAAAGAAGAAAATATTATACTGACACTGACGTTTTGAGTAAATGATTGCAAAATGTTGAATATGCTTTCTTAAAAACAACGATATTTTCTACTATTCCGTTAGAATTCAGCTGACAAAGTTAAATTTTTTATTATGATGAAGAATTAAACTATTGAAGACGAGTTAATTTATTCTATCAAGTTCAAATAAATATTTAGAGATTCATTTTTCTCGGAAGAAAACTCTGTAGAATCTAAAATTTAATTGAATATTATACAAATTTACTCTTTCTCTTAATTATCTGAATTTCTGTTTATTCAACTCAAAAATTCAATATATTCTATCAAATAAAAATTTGTAGTGGAAAGAGGGTGTGCGTGAAGATAGAATAGTGTATAACGACACCCACACCCACGCACCCTCGAAACGGAAATATTTCTTCCATATTTTGTCCTTCACAGAACTTGAACTATACATTTCATTTGTTATTACTTTGCATGCAAATTAAAAACCAATAGTGAATAAAATTTTTTGTTAGGACAAGAAAATAAATCAAATCGTGCATCTATTGTATGATGATGTGCTTGTTTTATAATCCCATATATTTTCTATTTTTTTTATATTGAATAGAATTAGTATACTTTAGAAATACTAGGAGAAATATCAAATTTCGATTTATAGAAGCATTAACCTATAGACTTTGTGTTTTTCAATTAATATGGCTTAAATCACTATATATGTGTTCGAAAGTGCAAAGAGATTCATTTATGATATTGCCTTCTTCCAATACACAATATGATCACTAATATTATTTGTTACTTCATTTTTATTCTTTTCACGTAAATAATATTCACTTTTTTTGTTCATTTTTCTAATATATATCAGTTTTTTATTTTAGTGACACAGGTTTGACACCAATTTTATTGCAGATGTTTATCTATTCGTTTCTTTCGTTATAATTCTAGTGACATCTAACATTTGTCAAGGTGTTGATCAATATGGTAGATGTTCAAAGAATAGTGCTTGTGGTTGTTTCCATAGGCTAAATACTAATGATGTTAGTATTTGTGGATTTCTCTGGCCAAGTTGTTCTCAACTTGTGCCATGTAATCCTACGAATAATGCATGCGATCGATCTGATGCTATATGTGTTCGACATCCTCGATGTCATGATCTTCCGTTGTGCTATCCAGTGTCGATGATTGATCAACCAGTCTGTCCAACCATAGCAAGTAAGAGAATACTTAGTTAGATTTATATTCATTAGTAAGTCAAACTTGTATGATGAGACATTTTATGTGTCGTTGTCATGTTATCCATATATGTATTTAATGTTGACAAATATTTAGTGACGAAGAACTGAAAATTAGTTAAAATAATATATTAACCGATACATCAGATAAATCATATGAGTTGGTCTTAAATGCTTAGGCTTTTATAGTTTAATCTAATAGAACAAAACAACATAATTAAATGCACGTTCTGAATATTCCACTTGTCCTTCTAAACAAAAACAGAACTTTTCGTTGTAACAATTGTTTTTTAAAACAAAGACTTCTCTTTCTTGGTCAACTGATAGAGTAACTCTAGATTCATATTCTATTGAACAGTCATCCTATTCAGACTACATTTACATTATCGATGCACCAAAAACTATTTGAGATTCATACTATCTTCTTTATATATATAAATATTTTATTGTAATAAATAGCAACAGTCACCACCACCTTCACAACTGCCACTGTTTCCACAACTACAACTACAATGACTACTCAACAATCAAGTAAGCAGTTTGTTAACGCTTCTTAATTTCATTAAATGCTCATTTTGAATTGAACATATATAATTGATTTTGACATAAAACTTTAGTGACGATGTTTGAAATCTGAGACCGATAAGGCTAGCTAAGTGCTTAAGGAAAGCAAAATAAATAGAGTTTTTGATCGATCTCATTCCTTTTTTACAATGTTTTTTTTTATGCAAGCCCAAGTTTTCTTCACGCTTGCTTGGTAAATTTTATGTATATGATCACTGTTCAGTACTTGCATGCAGATTTAAAGTGTGTGTGTGTTTGGGCCAGAACGCGTGTGATTTCTGATAACTAGACGAGCCGTACTCATATCCATCTCACATTCACACCTTCAAGATGATGTTTTGGTTTTCTTTAGGTTCACCAGGTGAAACAATTATATTTGCTCCAAGCTCTTTATATGAACTTGAAGATCCGTTGCGATTAATCGCTACTGGTAATTTCAATGGGGATAAGTATACGGATCTTGTTATTTTTTATTTATCCGAAAACACTATGCAGATACTCTTTGGTGGGACCAATGGAAGTTTTAAACAACAAGTGTTACCTCGAACTTTACAGGGTGCGGTATTGTCAATTGAAATTGCAGATTTCAACGGTGATAAACATGCAGATATTGCCATGATTTACGCGCACGACTACGGTTTAAGTGTGATACTTGGGGACGGAAAAGGAAATTTTGGATCGGAAACAGGTTATCGAACTACTGAAGATTCGAAGTTGGTAGCTGTCGGTGATTTTAATGGAGATAGTCTTTTGGATATCATCGCTCTCACTCTAGCTGAGAAAGTTGACGTGTTCGTAGGCTATGGTAATGGGAGTTTTTCGATGAAAACGAGCTTCTCCTTAGGTGGTGAACCGAGATCAGTTGTTGTCGGTAATTTCAATGGTGATAAGTACACAGATTTTGCTGTTATTCGTACGGACGATACAAATGGGATGCAAATGACTGCGAGTATTTTTCTGGCCTGTGCAAATGGAACTTTTCAAGAACGAAAACTTTTTCCACACGATCATTATGCATCAACAATAGCTGTTGAAGATTTTAACAATGATAAATATATGGATATCGCTGTTACTAGTTATATACATCATAATGTGATTATTTTTTTGGGGGATGGTAATGGAAGTTTTACAGAACAAATAATTAATTTGCCTCGTAGTATGCCGTTACTTATAGATGCTGGTGATTTCAACGGCGATAATTATATAGATCTTATTATTAGTCATTTGAATAGTAATGATCTCAGTGTATTCTTTAATTATGGTAATGCAACTTTTCAAAAGCAAATGACAGTTAAAACTACAAATGATCCGACATATGTTATTCATGGTATTCTCAACGATAATAATCGACTAGATATTATTAGTACTCGTATCTCTGATAGATATTTCTCTATTAATCTAAACACCTGCTAATTCGTTCAATCTACCATAAACTTTGACTTTTCTTGTAGCTTCTTTTATGTATTCATTGCTTTAAATATGTCAAAAGATCGCTTTCAATATTGAAAATAAATATTTGTAATTGCAAGTTTATCGTTTTCATCAATATAAATATTCAACATTTAGTCTAGATAGAAATAATCATATATTGAAATATTTGTTGTTGTTATTCTCTATAGAAAATAGAAGATAAATTCTTTATATTTTTTTAATGAAAGATAATCTCTATTATTTTTACAAACTTACATGAAAATAAATTGTTAATGATTTCTCTCGATTCTCTCTATTCAATAAAAATAATTGGTAGTATATATTGCATCAGAATGTAATTTTGAGTAAATATTATTTGTATAACATAGGTTATATATATTAAAAGTTTGTCTTAGTTTCATTTTTTTACTTTTATTTAGTATGATCGTATTTATGACCTATGACTTTGAATACAGTGAAATAATTACCAAGAGATGTACTAATAGGTTCAAAAAATATCATTGAAAGATGTTTGATGTGAAATAAATGAGAGTGTGGGTGTGACATGACTCTGGTTTTAGATATGCATGAAAAACCATCACGTACACTTTCAATTCAAATCTTTTTGAAAAAAATGAATCCTACTTGCTGATGAAGTTTACTGAATTTGGTTATGTTATCAATTTATCATGGCATTCGTAAAAATTCACCAAGGTTTGAATTGTCTAGATTTTTAATTCTATTCCTGAAAAGTAATAAAATGTCTACTGGATATAAAAACTAGAATTACAGATAAGTTGATCTAAATAAACACATATACTGAGAAATTGAGTTGAATCAATACGAAACTAATCAAAGTCAACTCAATCACTTTAAAAAAAGCTTTTTCATGATCGAGGCGTTGAGTGAAACAATTGTTTTCATTCCATCGGATCTTGTTTGGCACCCTCTTGTCAAAACCCTATAACGTAATTTGATATAAATGTACCATTCTAATTTATATAACTACAAAATAAAACAGAATCGATCTACGATTTTAGAATTTAACAATGCACCTTATCATATTATTCGTTGATTTTTATTGTAAACATTGATCCAAGAGTTGTGATACAATATTATCTAATGGTGCTGTAGATTAAACTTGTTTGTTGCTTTCATAACATCTCAAATTTCATTATACTAGACAAGAGTTAAAAATACAACTAAGGAATCTCTTGAATATATTTTATATAGTATTGGGTACAGGCGATGTAGTAAAAATATCAAATGAATAATTCCCAAATACACAAGTCATATAGTAAGTGCATTTTCAACATGCAATAGAATCAACACTAACTTTTGCTATATGATTATCCATTCTGTGAATATATTCTTGTTCTTTCCTAACATTTATTTTATAATCTGTGATGAATTGATATATAGAATTTACTTGTTCTACTCACCGTTATTAAAATAATATATAAAATAAATAATCAGAAATATACATCTGAAAATAATTCATTTCTTCTCTAGGATAATAATACTTTATGAAATATTATACTTTATATTTTTGTCACCGATAGAGGAGAACTACATTTCAAACTAGAATATGGACCAACTGATTATGTGAATCAATATAAGCTGTGATTTCTATATCTCTTTATTCAGCTATTGTTGAGCGATCTCATAGTTTATTATAAGTATGATAGAGAACTGCTTGTTTAATTCTCAATTGCGTTAATATAGAATTATTTAAAAACAAATAGCCCTACAAACGTTTTCAACTAATGAAACATAATTCTCTTGTTCAAATATAGGTAACCTAATTTATTTGAGTGATATCAAAAGCTAATTTTAGTGAAGAAAATATTTTAGATTTATCAGATGCTAAGAGTTTAATCATATAAAATCAATATTATATTATGATTAGGCCCTTTTTTGATTTTTATTATATTGATTGATAAATTTATCCATTTATTATTTTATATTCGATTCCGTTAAAATAATGAACTAGATATTATTTATCTTATTTGTACAATTTATTGTCAAACTGATTTTTATTATTATTAAAATTAGTGTCAAATTTGATATGAATAAAGACAAGATAGAATTCACATTTACACTTTTTATTAGCTGAATAATGAATGAAAAAGTTGTTTTATTTTCTTGTTTTTCTATACACTTCCAAAAACTTGTTTCCATAAAGTGAAAGATTAATCAATCTCTCGGCATTTTTTCAAAAAAAAAGAAATGATGAAATTATCTTCCAAACGTCTAAAACAAATTTTTGTTATTATTCTTTTATTTCATTATATTTGTAGTATTTAATTTAATCTTTTTCATAATCGAAAAAGTTGGATAACTTCTTGGTAATTATTAGTAAAAATGTTTCCTATTTGCATTCATTTTTTTATTTTAATGAAGAAAAACAAGTAATTATTGTGGTTTTTCAAGGATATACCTTAGATAAAATTTCTAGACATCAATTTTGAATTGTATAAATAGGTATGAAACTGTTTTTACATTGTATATAAATATATTTTCATCAATGAAAATCATTTTTGTATTTTTATATCAAATAATTGATATTTTCTGTGCTGATTCACTTAAAAAAATAGAAAAAAACGGATCTTTTATGATGAAATATATTTTTCAGTATGTTCATTATTATTCTTGAAAATACCAAACATCTGTTTATGTCGTTTTTTTTTTTAAAACGGATATTCTTTTATATATTCAAACACATGATATATTTTGTCAAAATCAAATATATTCTCGCTGATTTTATTAATTTAATGACCATACGCTATTTAGAGGGTGTGAATGTTGGTGTATATCGGGAATGTAATATGAGTTCTTCATAACTTGTGGAATATTGTAAATCTTGATTAAAATCAGTTCGAAATATTTCGAAACAATTGTTGGATCATTTTATTCTCATAAATAGAAGCTATGAATATTGATTTATCAGTATTAAAAATACTAGTCTATTTCATCAAAAAATATACGGTCGATACGTATGAATTTTTCTATGGATGATAATATTCTGGATGGTCTCTATTTATTTAATATAAGTAGACAGCATTGCATACAGTTTTTCTTGTTTTTCTCTTCTATATGCATTTTATCTCTAAATGATTTTCACTTTTTTCTTTAATCTTATCAACAGATGTTAATTTTAAGCACAGGCAATGTATTTGCATTCGATATTAATCTTCCTATCGTTTATAATATTATAATTTGTAAATATTTTACTTTATGAATAAATTATTTTTTCTTCATAGTTATTATATTTCACACATATATACACACAGAAAAAGATAAATGCCTCGAAGTTAAATAATAGTTGAATAGTTTATTATTTTGATATTGTATTAGCCTGAATATAATAGAGAATATTCCTCAAATAGCGATTCTCTGTCGAGGTTTTTTCGTAAATACTGCTTTTACGCAGTTGTTTTTTCGATGAGAACATGTTTGTTATATTTGTATGCGATATAATTTATAAAATTTTAGGAAAAGTGTCATATCCTCCTATAGACAGATGTTCAAGCTCAATAAACTATTTGTCCTTATAGAGCAAGTGTTGATATAAACATCAGAGATATTTTTCTACTGTTCAAATATTTTTCTCTGTGTGCTGCACAGAGAGTGCTTGAGCAGATAAAGATATAATGTATAAAAACCGTAGATACTCTTAGTACATAAATATCTATTCTGCCAGTTGAGACTTTTCTTTTTGAAGAGTTACAAGCTTATTTTAAAAATATGAAATGATAGAGAATCTATTGAGAAAATTTTCAAAGTTAGCTTAAAGAAAAAGAAAAGCAATTTACTTCAAAATAATTCGTTAGATATTCATCATTTTGAGACACATATTGTTTGTTTTTATTTTATTAATCATGTAGAAAACCAGTACGATAAGGGTAAATTTTTGATTGTCTTTATTGCATATTAAATCTTACACAAAACATTCTTCATCTTTCCTTTGGTTATTTTATTCCTTATTGTTCTCTCTCGTATTCTCTTGTTTTTTATTCATATGTACTGTTAAGATTTCAGGATAATAGTTTTTGCATAATAAAAAAAATAAGAAAATTTTAAATAGAGATTGTTTGACGATAATATTTTAATTTGTTTGTGAAATCAGAAATCCGTTTTAATTGAAATTAAGAGAATATGTTAGGATATAAGGTAGACTAGATCAGTTTATACTTTTGAATATAGCTGGTCTTTATGTAATGTAGTTATGTGTTAGGATCATTTTATGAGAATGAAAAACTTGTCGTTGTCAAATTTCTCGATCTAATATCTCATTCACATCTATTTGTTTCTATCATAATAATTAAAGACTTCAAATATCATCCGATACAACTTATAATTTGGCTTCAGAAGATCCTAAAGAGTCTTATCCTCACATCCTTTTCATTTTAATATCATTACAATCCTAGTTAAATAGCTTTTACAAAAAAATAAGTATTCAATTTATTGATAAGATACGGTTACCTTCGTAATAATGGTATTTACCTAACTATTCACCTTCCTTCACTGGTAATGTATTACACTATGAGAGATAATTAGTGATACTATTCAAAAATTGAAGAGACATTAGTTGAAGAATTGCATTAACAATATTTTTTCTTCTAGATAAAACTTATAATTCATATTTTTTTTTACTTCTAGTTAAAAGCTTCATTCAACATTGATAATTTCATTACTATTATGTCGGTAAGTCACATGTAAAAAGAATAAACTCAAAAAAAGTTTCTTCACCAGTTTCTATTGAGTTTTTGATAATCATGATGCTAATCGAGTGTACGATATTCTTATTTATGATACACTATGAAAAAGTTTCAATGAATAGTTTAAAATATTTTATTATTTGTAATGATGAGAAAGAATTGAATACTTTTAATTCTCTTCTCTAATTTTTTTTTATAAATGTAAGAAAAATGAATTTAGTAAAACTGTTAAGTATGAAATCTTAAAATAAACTATTTAGTTTGAAAACTGAACACGATCTTGAGACGCTTTTCTTCTAAAGTGGTCAGATAAATGATCTTAGTTGAACCTCAAGAATGATATAGTTGAGCATATATATTTATTGATCATTGTTTTATGTTTCCTGTGAATAATAGAATTGCTACAATGCTTGTAAGTTGTCTATTTTGAATAAATTTAATGTTTAGGCTACGGTACATCCATCGAATGATGTGGAAAGCACAACTGATGTATTATCGACTTCATCAACAGCTGTTACAGGGTATTTAACAATCAGTTTGAGTGTAATATTCATAAGATCATTTTTTATTTTAAGACGAAAATTGAGCAGATCTCAAAAAGTGCTTATCATTGTGGGTTGTTTTGTCGGATTAGGTCTAATAATAACGGTTATTGTTGTACCTATTGTTGTAAAACGACAAGGATCATCATCATCATTAGCATCATCACAAACGACAATGACTTCAGTTGGTATGTATTTGTAGGATAATAGTTTCATTTGAACAAGAAAACAGATAGATTTTTTCTGATCATTGAAAAGATACTGAAAGATGTTCATATTTACACTAAATCCTGTAACTAAATTTTAACTGTTCCTATAAGCATAGTCATAAAATAATGTTCATACAAATATGTGTATTTATTATTAGTTATAACTTGTCAGTACTCATTTATTTTTATCATTTGTCGATGGGGATGTTTTTTCAAAACTTAGAATTTCTTTTTTTTCTACACGTATATGACGTAAGCAGAGAACGAGAAAGAAATGGGAAATACTTGAACATATGCACATCGAAATGTCCTTGTAGAACGCAAGAAGATATAAATAGAATGACGTCACCATATACATATACACATATCCATCAAACAAACTTACTTTATTTCTTACAAAGATTTTAGACTTCGGAAAATTTTCTGGGGAGTCATTTGTTTTATATTTATTATTCATTATTGATTATTAGAACAAAATAATCTAATTATAACTCGAATTATGTCAAAAAAGTCTCTGATAAATACTTTTGATGAAAACTGAGATTATGTAGAAATCACTTTTGATGAAAACTGAGATTATATAGAAATCAAACTAATGCATGATAGAATCTTATAAAAATTACAAAACATGAATAAATATTTAGATTATGAGATTTTTTTGTACATGATTTATGAATTGTTTAGATATGTTGGATGTCACACTATTCACTTCATCAGAAACTTCAATGGCTGCACATGTTGTAACTCCAGGTATGGAAATAAGTTACTGATCTTTATTAATAAAAGTCGTAATATTACTATCTGTTGTGTAATTATATTTAACGAAATTTAAATTTTTTTACGCAATATACTGTATATATTTAAAGATGAAAATATGAATCTATAAAACACGCGGATATTTGATGATCCAGTATATTGTTATTGAATAAAGAAACATGAAAATATACTACTCTACAAAGATATATTTGAAAAGACAAGAATAGTGTGCAATGACCAAGTCTGAAATCCAGTTATGCAGTTGTTATCTATAGAAAGTTGTTTTATTTCTGTTGTAAGGTTAAATGCTATAACTACATGACTGAATATATAGAATATTATCAATCTAACTGACATAGCAATCTATCGAGATGTTATACTTATTTTACATAGATCAGAAAACTTGCAATAGGATGTTTTGATTTTCTTTAGGTCCACCATGTGAAACACTGACATTTGCTCCATCCTTTACACGTAACCTTGAATATTCGTTGCGTTTAATCGCTACTGGTAATTTCAATGGGGACAAATATACGGATCTTGTTATTTTTTATCTGCTTGAAAATACTATGGAGATACTCTTTGGTTGTACCAACGGAAGTTTTGAAGGACAAGGGTCACTTCGAACTTTAGAGGGTGCTGTTTCGTCTGCTAAAATCGCAGATTTCAACGGTGATAAACATGCAGATATTGCCATGATTTACCTGCTCGACTACGGTCTAAGTGTGATACTTGGAGATGGCACAGGAAATTTTGGATCGGAAACACGTTATCCAACTACTGAAGATTCGAACCTGGTAGCTGTCGGTGATTTTAATGGAGATAGTCTCTTGGATATCATCGTTCTCAGCCTAACTGAGAAAGTTGCAGTATTCGTAGGCTATGGTAATGGAAGTTTTTCGATGAAAACGAGCTTCTCCTTAGGTGGTGAACCGATGTCGGTTGTTGCCGGTAATTTCAATGGTGATAAGTACACAGATTTTGCTGTTATTCGTAGGGACGATACGAATGGGATGCAAATGACTGCGAGTATTTTTCTGACCTATGCAAATGGAACTTTTCAAGAACGAAAACTTTTTCCACGCGATCATTATGCAACAGCAATAGCTGTTGAAGATTTTAACAATGATAAATATATGGATATCGCTGTTACTAGTCATATACATCATAATGTGATTATTATTTTGGGGGATGGTAATGGAAGTTTTACAGAACAAATAATTAATTTGCCTCGTAGTGGACCGTCAGTTACAGATGCTGGTGATTTCAACGGCGATAATTATATAGATCTTATTATTAGTCATTTGAATAGTGATGATCTCAGTGTATTCCGTAATTACGGCAATGGAAGTTTTGAAAAACAAATGACAGTTAAAACTATGAACAAGCCAACACATCTGATTCACGGTATTTTCAACGATAATAATCGACTAGATATTATTAGTGATTGTGCGTTTGGTGATTGTATCTCTATTAATCTAAATACCTGTTAATTCACACAATCTACCTTGAACATTAACTCTTTTTGTAGCTTCTTTTATATATTCAGTGCTTTAAATATGTCAAAAGATCGCTTTCAATATTAAAAATAAATGTTTGTAATTGCAAGTTTATCGTTTTGATCAATATAAATATTCGAGATTTAGTATAGATAGAAATAATTATATTTTGAGATGTTTCTTGTTGTTATTCTCTATAGAAAATAGAAGATATATTCTTTGTATTAATTTAATGAAAGATAATCTCTAATATTTTTGTAAACTTTGATAAAAATAAATTGTCAATGATTTTCATTCTCGATTTTATCTATTCATTAAAGAAACGGGTCAGTAGTACGGTCGCGATGTAGAATCTTCAACATTGACGTTTGGTAATTATTGTTTTTTTTATTAACAAAAAAAAAATGAATTCAGATCAAAGTGAACGATTCTAAATATTCTATAATAGTATCAAACTAATCCGACGTATGTTGATTGATCATTGTTAATGTACTACCATCGCCAACGATTTTGAATAGTTCACTAGCATTTTTCATTGCAAATCCTTTATAATCATTTTGTTCACCTGCATATAGTTTTATCAATAGTGGTAAATAAATTTGCATATTTTCTATCATTTTAATCGATCGCACATAATCCTTTTTAGGCAAATGTTTGTTTTTTCGGTAAAATTGTTCAATCGATTCGATCATTCCATTGTATTTCGGTCTTACATATTGTTCCATTTCGTCAATCCTCTTTAACATTTCTGTATCATTTTGAAATAATCCTCTCAAATCATCCGAATGTTCATTTATAACAGCTTCAAATAATGATCTTGGAGAATTTGCAGTTTCACCATCTCGATGAAGCATAAGATATTTTTTTGTTTTAATTTTAACAAGATACGATGATTGATCAGGTTGAATTATCTCAATAACATAACCTTCACCATATGGTTCCTGATAAATACTTTGTAGTAATTGTTCATGTGTTACATCAGACGAAACAGATTCAAATGGAACAAGATGAGCAAGGATTGCTGAGAAATTATTTTCAAGAAGAAATGTTTTTAATCGACTACCAAATAAAGTTTGACCATCGACATGCGATCGAATCGATAGAATAGTGAGTCGAGCTTCTGGATAGGAAACAACAACATGATTAGAGGGCGATGTATATTCCATATTTACAGTATAATTGAGATGAACCAGTTGTTCAAGTTCGGATTTAAAGTTACCTAAAAAGTTCTAATGAGAAATATTGCTCCTTAAACACAAACTTACTTACCAACAAGCAATTGCATAGATTCAGTAACTTGTTTCGATGTAAGTGATTGTTTTGATTTAAATCGAAGTACTTGTTCATTCGACGCTGGCCTATGTAAAAATGTTGATATCAATGTTCCATCCATTTTTTCCATTTTATCTCCAAATCGTCCACGTTCATGAAATTGTTGTCGACCAAAACCTTCGGTATAATTAAAAAATTTCTCTGGTGCTAAAGAAACGAGTTGCACTTTTTTCGGATTCATAATATTAAACATTGTTCCACGACAATTCAATGCTGCAGTACGAGATTGAAATGCTGCATATGTACAGAGTCGATAATTAAATATACGATATGGAATTGAATTCAAACGAACATCTTTGTAGTAGAACGTATCATCCATAGAACAAAGATACATTAAATCATCATAGAATGTACTCATATTCATTGTCATCGAAGTAGTAGCCATGTTGAAAATTAAGTTTAGTATTGAAAAAAAATCTCTGCAACTTATATAAACGCATGTGATGTAATTTCATGATGAATGGTTATTGCGAAATATATTAGCCAAAATGGAAAGAAAAATGTGCTCATGACTCATTTCTTCTGAAGGTAGTTTTTGCTGTTCTGTTGTTGACAAATATTTCACGATAGAACATTAAAAACTACCTACACGATGATAAAGAATCCCTCGCTGTAGATAAATAGATTTGTATAGAATATTATCTGCCATTCATTTCATTTCGTTAACTATTTTATATATGTATATAATTGCTATTCGATGATAATATCTTTCATTATTTTTTTTTATATCAAATTAATCAATTGCGAAATTTTATTCAAACATCCAAATAATATTTTTTTCATAAAAGTGTGGCAACGTGACACATGATGCAGCAGCGATATCATTTTCTTTAGTTTCAGATAATTATCGAATATAATCAGATGTAATTACTGTAAAAATCTAATTAAATTTTATTATTTTTATTCTTGATAGAAAATCAAATTAATGATGTTAATGTATTTCTACTACGTGCTTTTTTTTGAAAGCATGCGAGTATAGATATAAGTAAGAACATTTAAAGAAGTGCATACTAGAAGATTTATGAATAAAAGCAAGAGCATGAAGATGGTTTTTTTGTAATTAAAAATGAAAGACGGTTAAGGTATTAATTGAGTGTGACTTCTTTCTTGTTGTAAAGTGCTGGACACATTAAAAGACTGAAGGTCTTCTAATATATCGAGGGCTTTATTAAGAAGTTAAAGTTTTGTTGTCATATCTTCCGATAACGAGCAAAATTAAAAAAGAAAATATACACTGAATAAGTGTTGATATTAGTGTATTAAAAGATGGTCACATAGCTTATATACATACACATTTTTATTTAGCATTATACAACCATCTGATCGTATTTATTTTAAAAATTTCATACAGTAAAAGACATCTATATTAGTTTAGATTAGTGCAGGACTTTTAGTTAATGGATGATTCAAAAGCCAATAATGATCTGGTCGTCTCCATGGATTCCGTTGAAAACAATTATGAAGTATATCTTTAACAAGACTAGAACGAGTTTTTGTAGTACCAGGTATTGGTTGTGCAGTTTCATAGATAGGTGCTTGTCCGTAAGTCAAATAATATAGAATAGCACCTACAGACCATACTTCCGCTCTTGGTGTAACAGGTACTGCACCTGAGAAACATTCGGGTGCAGTAAAAGGATGGGTACCACCTAATCTACGATGTCCATCTTGCCTATATATAAAAATTAGAAGAAAACAAGTAAAATAATAGAAAACTTACCCAGAATATTCGTCCAACGCTATACCAAAATCGACTATTTTTAATGTTGAACCAAAATATACTAAATTAGCTGGTTTCATATCTCGGTGAACCTATAATAAAATTCACCAATAATAATCATTTTTTTACATTAAAAAACAGAATTTACACTTGCTATCGAAAAAGTGCAGTTTTTTTAATTTTCGATCGTATCGAGTCAAAAACTAATTTTAGTTCGAAAAATATTTAAATAATTCTTCGTTTTTATAATTGCGCATTAGAGAGTTTTAGATCTGGTTTCTTTTATCTTACTATATTATTTCGTTTAAGTGCAACAGCAATATTGACTAACTGAATCCATATATTCTTTCGAGCTGTTGCTGTGATATAATCGTAACCCTCTGCTTCTGATCCTGAATGCATAGTATGAAGATTTTTAACTCTCTCGGTTAATGATTCTTCTCCCAATTCCATGATTAGTAAACCTAAATGTCTTTGTCGATCAAGATCAAATCCGAATACAGTTACAGCATTATTCACTTCGTGACGCATTTTGTAACCCATTCGTATTTCAGTTTTAAATGAATCCAACCGTTGCGTTGAATTTATATGATCTTTTGAACGACCAAAATCATAGATTTTCACTGCAACTTGCTGACCTAAAATTCAAGTAGCTCAGTATAGTAGGCTTAATACTGTTAATTAGAAGAAATGCTTTTGAAAGTCTCTTATTTAAATTGTTATCGTTTTTCATAAAACTACATATGCTTTCTAAATAATCCCAAATATTAGCTTTATTTTGAATATTAGATCTAAAAGAATACGCTTGAAGTTGAACGCTGCAAATCTCTTTAGTTCTAAACAAAAAATTTTTATTTTTATCAGATTTTGGTTTATGTTTGCATGTAGCTTTGAGAAAGTAATAAGTCCAGAATGCCTTTAGATCCTAATCTATATAATAATAAAATAAAAACAAAAAAATAATACGAACCATCACGTGTTCCAGCTGACCAAACAGAGCCAAATTTTCCATTACCTATTCGATCATATAAAGTGACTGATTGGCCTTTGACGTGAAATGTCTGGTTCTGAAGCCAGCCTTCATCAGAAGGAATTCGATTAAGCCGAGCTAAAAATACATTAAATCTGAAAAATTTTTGTATATGTAATAATAATCCTCTACTCTCCCTCAGCCCTTGGGAAACACTTTTACGAAACTATTTATAATGCACATTATGATCTGAATGACAGATTTTTTTTTGCAGATCACTCTATTCACAAGTCGACTGTATGTTTTCTGATATTATTTTGGGGAGTAAAGGGTCAATGATAAATACTCACGTTTTCTCGTAGTCCTGTGTATATTACCCATCCTTTTTTCTTGTGGTTACCTATATCTAAACATGTTGACATATAAGTACTTAAAAATGGAAGAAAAAATGATCATGTTTCGTCAATAAAGTACGAACAAAATAAAAGTATACGTACGTCCTGAAATGAATCAATAGACGCCAGTTCCTCCTACATGCCACGATATGTATATCAATCAAAAAAAATTCGGAGGAGATAGTATCATCATTTTCGAAAAAAAACATTGAATCATTTTTGCTGACGAAGACATGAATCAGTAAATTTGATTTATAGTGTCATATCTATATATCGAAATCATTACATTTTTAGTGTATTCAGCATGTAATTAATTAGCTTTATCATTAATGAAATATTACAAATTATTTGAATCTACAAGTAATATTGAAATACAGAAAGTATTTATTTCAATTAGATGAAAATAATTGATATATGACGTATCAGAAGTAAATATCTTACTGGAAAAAGTCACGTCCTATTTAATTAGAGACTATTTTTATTGCAAAGGTAAATGTTTAACAAAAAAAACAATTTATTCGTCAGAAGAAAAAAATGGATTCTGGAGATAGTATCTTATTGTGATTTTGTACGGTACGAAAAGCGAAATCTTTATAAAAAAAATAGCAGCCGACTTGAAGAAACTGGTAAAAATATTCAATAGAATGAAAAAAGAAATCGTTTGCAATTCGATCTTGATAGTCACCATTATCAAAACAATATATTGCGTTTGTTTCTTCCAATTTCCATGTTCGTTATCAAATAGTATCATGTCAGAGAACATTCTAATAACATTTATGTTATTCTTTTTTTCTTTCCTTTCGTTGGTACACGTGTACGTCTAGGCCTTTCTTTCACCTATTTTCCACATGACAATCATATTGTTCGTTCAGGTCTTCTCTCCCTATCGTCCATGAGAATTATTTTCGTTTATTTCCTATACAGGTAGAAAGATAATGAGTTACATTATTTTTTTGTTTTCGTTCGCTTTGTCAAGAAGTGAGAAAAATGCACTTAGATCGCCCTCTCTCTCTTTTACGTTTCTCTGGACATCTTCAGTTTGAATGTCTATAATAAATTTCATTGCTGGTTTAAAACTTAACAATGTTGAGTACGGATGTAGATGCAAGTGTGTAAATCGTTCACTCTATATTATTAGATGAAATAGATTCTGTATCATTACGCCATGCCGATTGTCATCAGATGTTACAATTAGATTGATATACATCATGAAAGAAGTGAAACGGTTAGTCAATTTTTATCTTCATGTATAACATCTTATGATTAAATTATCAATTGCACAGCTACTTCAGTCAGACTCTAATAATAATAATAATAATACATTTTTTAACAAACTGTTGTTTTTGATTTATTTAAAAATATTATCGCCATAGATGCACATGTCTATTTTCAACCTTCATAAAACAATCATGAAGACATTGTTTTGTTTGAATTAATTCGTTTAATGTCTCCACACATCTTATATTATTAATAGAAAACGATAATGAAACGAGATGTTGAGCGATATCATTGAATCTTGACGAAAGAAATCGTACGATTGCTGCAGCATGTCTTTGTTGTCTATGAATTGCGAAATGTTGTAATCGAGGACATAAAATAAATAGGAATTTAACTTCTTTTACTTCTTTTATATCTATAATTGTTAAATTTTTAATGATATTTGTATTGGATAACAACTGAAAATTTTCTGTATTTTGAATATCTACACAATCTATTTCATCTAGTAGTATCCGATATATATTCAATGTAATAATATTCGGCGTTAATAATAATAATTCAATTAATTTTTCGAATGAAAATTCATGAGATGTTATTTTTAATTGAGTAAGATTTCGTAAAGAAATCATTTGTTTGAGAGTAGTTAGAAGTGTTTGTGATCTTTTAGAAGAAACATTCTCTAGAGTGAGTTCAGTAGCATTGGAAAATTTATGTTTACAGTGATAAATCGATCGTTCACCTGTAATATAAACATGATTAACTGAAGTATGATCAGTTTTTGTATAAGTTAAATCAGTAAACTGCTTATTGTCCCATCTAATTATATATTCTTTTTGTCTATGAAGTAAAATTAAATAAATATTTTTTTCTTAAGTAAAATAATCTCTTTATACCTGTAAGGATTTACTGAGTAAAAAGTAGGTATATAGAAGGAACGGCCCAGGTAACCCTGATGAGTAAAAAACCATTGTCGATCATGCCAAAATGAAGATTTGAATTCATTCAATTGCGACATTGATAATAATGAAATTGAACTTCTTACATAAATATTAAAAACACGTAAAAATGGCATCGAAGATGATATTAATTCTTGCCATTGATTAGCATTTATATATTCTTCTTTGCCATATACGGAAAGATGTAAAACTTCAATTGTAGAAAAAAAAGTCTTGATTAATAATTTGAAATTATTAGAACTAAGTCGATCTAATTTGAGAAATAAATGTGTCAGATGATCCAACATAATTGGGTGGTTTAATTCATATTCATTATTTGCTAAAAGATTATCAAGTGATAAACGACGAATTTGCGGAATATATGATAATAATCTATCGATATTTTGAAGATAAACTTTATGTTTAATAACAAGATATTCAATTGGACTGTATTCACTTGTAGCAAAAGGTAATGGATTAGATTGATACCTTTCTTGTAACGAAACTTTGCAATATTTCAATGCAGGCAAACGAAATATTTGAAGTAGATATTGATTTGCGTCTCTGACATAACCGAGACAAATAATAACCAGTGTAGAAAGATTCGATAAAGTAGAAATATCTCTGAAAATATTTGAAAGATATTTCGTATCAATATTTTCGAGAATAAGCGTTTCTAATCGAATAAATCTTGATAAGATATGATGTGGTGAAATATGAAGATCATAACAAAATTTGTTTGTTATACAAAGTGAAATAATTCGATGTGGATACGGAATAATAGTATTGGTATAATAATGTTCAAGATTTGATTTCGATATAGATGAAATATTTATTTTGATAAGAACATTTGAACAAGTAAGAAAATTTCGAAATCGTATATTGAGATTGAAAAATGATTGATAAACATGAAAGTAATCAAGATATCCAAAGATCTCATAGAAAATTTCATTCGATAAATCTTCAAAATGTGTTATCGATTGTTTTGATAAACTGAAAAAAATTCAAAATAAATATTAGAAAACAAATATATGAACGAACCAATTGGTGTTTAGTCTTTTTACTAAAACAATATCATAAAAAAAATTAAGTTAATAATCCAATAGTACTTTACTTTGCAAACTTTCCATTCTAAAATAAAAATGCATACCTTCCGAACACAGCGAGATGACATAAGTAAAAGGATATTGCACAATTGCAAAACGATTGCGAAATAACAAAGGTGTAGTTTGTGAATCAAAAAGTAAATATCTTTTTTTTAACGCCATCATATTAATTTAATATTTTTTCGTTGACCAGTATTAAATTATGCGGTAGAATGCAATTAGAATTATTTTTATATCGTTAAGTTTACAAGAAAATCTGCTTGGCATGAATGAGCCAATTTTTTATTTTCATTCTTCAAATTTATACCGAACCACATTTACAAGTTGAATTCCATCATTCTCCGCATCCTATGCTATACATATAGATCAAAACTGATAACATCAAAGATACTATAAAGTTGAGAAAGCATATTAAGGTAGATCTTTTAGTACTTGTGCCTAAAACAGTTGTTCACATAAATATGTCCATTAGAATTTATTTATAAATGTGTCTTAATTCTTCTAGATTAGCATGTCTAATGTGAGAGTTAACATAATCCCAAAGTTCAAATGAACATTTCTCTATTGAAGATTTTTCAAGATAGAGAAACTCTGTTTGATTCTTCAGAGTGAACAACGTAACAATTGATAAATATTTACTTATTGAAGCATTAAAAAAAAATATTGAATCTTTTGAGTCAATATTATTGAGACATCTTTGTTATTTGAAGTTAGAGAATATCGATTGATGTTAATGAAATCTTAATCTAATTATTTTCATTAGGATCTGTAAGAAGAAAATTCATTTTTATTATTAATGCAACTGAAACATGATGTATGTATTACAAAGCATGATTTATTTAAATATATCTTTGAATAAAACTGGTTTTTATCTATTGATAAAAAAATTATGTAAGGATTTATTATTTGAATGCTATTTTGAAAAGTAAAATCGATATTTGTATCCATATTAAAGATAAATACAGATTCCTAAATATCTTAAAAACAGAATATGTAAGAATTATTACTTAATCATGTGAGATTACTACTTCAGAGAAAGATTAAGCTGACTGTATACATATTGATTAAAATAATCATTAATCTAAAAATAAAAAGAAGATAACTCAAGTGAGTCAATTAGATGTGCCATTTGACAGAATGATTTTCGCTATCCATTGGTAAATGAAATATATATAAATAATTTCTGATCATTCTCACGGTGATTTGTTCTTATTTCATAATAATTTCATATACCAAAGCAATTCTTTATTATTTTTGCATTATTGATTCGAATGAGAACACTGCATTTGAGAGTATAAGAAAATTGAAAATTTATCTATATGTATATCGACTAATGCAATACTGTGCGTCTGTGTACTATCGAAACTATCAACTATTGTATAGAAAAAATTATAGAATGTAGAACTACAAACATTATTAGTACTATACATAATAGTAGTATATACTCTCAATATTGTCGTAAGTTATATCCAAAATAAAATGCCTCTATTCTTTCATTCTATAGATATTTACTCCAGAAAATTAAAAATAAGTCAATGCAAACGTGGATTGAGCATCTATTTTATACTTTTATAATATCATATATTCGTATCTTTATTGCACCATACTTATAAAAAATATCTACTTCAATTGTCAACAGAACAAAAAAACTTCTCTTTAACCGTTATTCACCTCTCATTTGACATATAGATACTCTCTTTTTCCTTCAATATCTAGCAATCGCTACATCTAGTTTACACAAATAATAATAAATCATATCATAAATTTAATATGGATGAGTTTATCAATGGTATGAACTATTCTTTAATATTGAAACAAAAAGAATAATTCACTCTATTGATAAAATGAACTTTTTCTCTCCTTCTATTCTTCTATGTTTCTGTTGAGTATGTTTCTTTCTTATCTGACACAATGAAACTCCACTCGCTCAAACATGATAATGTAACCGTGAAGGTTTTTTCTACAATACATATCTTGTCAATATGTATTGTTTACCTTACCGGTGAGTGTTACTACTCATATTGTGTTCTCAACAAGAACAAATTTTCAATAGGCACATTTCATTTCTCATCAATTTTATTTAACTTTCAAAAAAATATAGAAAGAAATTATAATTTCTTTTTTAAGCGTTCGAGGTTATTGATCCATTGTTGAAGTGTTGGATGATTTGATGGTAATGATTGTTGTCCAATTTGTACAGCACGTTCATAAAATGAATGAGCTTTTGAATAGTTTCCCATATCCTCATACACGCTACCGATGTTGTTATAGGAATCACCCAAACTAGGATGATTGGAAGGAAGTGATTGTTGTCCAATTGCAAGATCTTTCTCAAAATAAGAAAGTGCTTTTGGATAATCACCCATGTTGTAATACACGCTACCGATGTTGTTATAGGAATTACCCAAACTAGGATGATTGATAGGAAGTGATTGTTGTTTGATTGCAAGGGCTTTTTCATAATATGTAAGTGCTTTTGGATAATCGCCCATCCCGTCATACACCAAACCGATGTTGTTATAGGAAGCACCCAAATCAGGATGATTGGAAGAAAGCGATTGTTGTAGAATTGCAAGATCTTTTTCATAATAAGAAAGTGCTTTTGGATAATCACCCATGTTCTGATATACCAAACCGATGTTGTTATAGGAAGCACCCAAATCAGGATGATTGGAAGGAAGTGATTGTTGTCGAATTGCAAGGGCTTTTTCATGAGATGAAAGTGCTTTTGGATAATCACCCATGTTCTTATACACATTACCGATGTTGTTATATGACATAGCCAAATCAGGATGATTGGAAGGAAGTGATTGTTGTGAAATTGTGAGATCTTTTTCATAATAAGAAAGCGCTTTTGGATAATCACCCATGTTGTCATACACCATACCGATGTTGTTATAGGAATTACCCAAATTAAGATGATTAGAAGGAAGTGTTTTCTGATAGATAGTAAGTGATTTTTCATAATATGTAAGTGCTTCTGGATATTCTCCTTGATCATATTTGATATAACCTAGTTGATGATAAATAGGTGCCTTATCACTTTCATCCGTTGTTTGACGAAGTAAAACTTCATAAACTTCTTGAGCCTTGTTAGACTGGCCCATTTTAATTAGCAATTCACCTAATCTGTACCATCCTTCAACATCTGGAAAGGTCTCCTCTCGTATACGATCAGTAAGAGTTCGAAGGTCTTGATCATTGTTATTGGTCAATGTTAAATTCACTTTATAGAGATGGTTATTTCTACCCATTGGTTTAATATCTCCAATACGAAAAATGGTATGCATAGAAAAGAGAACTTCATCTTCTGTATGAAAATAACTAACATCTGTAACAGATGCAAATGGAGTTGTTGAATTCGTAGGATTAATTGACATAACAAATAGAATTCCAACAAGATCAGGATTCGTAGCAGCTTGTTGTGCAAAGTTAAGAGAAACATCACGATTTTTACTAGTTGATAAAAAGTTGTTGAATGAAAGAAGTCCACCTTTAGTTTTTGTCATTTCGGCGAAATCTTCTTTTGAAAGACCTTGTCCACGGTAAACTGTAAGTGTTGTACCTGATTGATGGCCATCAAATTGCTCCGAATGTAGTCGTTGAATATCTCGATGTAGATCCTTAATAAAGAAACCCATTCGAATAATCATATCAACATCCATTTGTCTTAATGCTTGATTGAGCATACGATATAAAAATGCATCCCATGTATACCACCATATGGGTATGTTGTTTTTGTATGTTGTTTGTAATTGATTAACATTTTTTAATTCGTTTTCATCATCTTCATATACATCACGACAGTAAGTAATAAATTCTTTGAAATGTTTGTCTTCGAAGTTGATGGTTAATAAGATCTCTTTCAAGATCTGAGAATACATGAAGGATGGATCTAATTGATCCAATTTCTTGTTCGATGCCACAAAACTAATCGAAATGGCATTTTGCTCACATTGTTTAGAAGTTTGTTTAAGAGCTTCACAGATTGATGTTATATCTGTGAAGACTCCTTTTATTTTGGGCCATTCTTTGGCCCATTGTTTATGCCATTCTTGATTGTTACAAAAGATAAAAATGGTATCTACTTGAGACATATCATGCACATGAGGCACAATATATTTTCCCATTGAACCAGAAACAATCATACATACTTTGTTGTTGTTAATTGTTTGAATAAATTCCACACATTCTTCACCATTTGTAAACGTGTTTATGTTGTTAACTACACGTTTCAATTGTTTGATTGTATTACTACAATCGGCATTATTCTCATTAATATTGCCGTCCAACCAGATCAGGAGGACATTTTGCATTCTCTGCATGTTCATACGTCGAATATCAGTTGCACGCGTAGAGATCCCAGATGTTGCGTGAATTTTTTTTGAGCCACTTGGTTTGCTAGTTGCCATTGACTGATTATTTTTTATGTGTAATATGAATGTGTTGTATTTGAGTTGTTTGAAAAAATGTGTGAATGAAAGAATTATGAAAGTGTCTCATTTTATAGTGTCTCTACTTCCTAACGAGATTTGTTTTTCTATTTTTTTTTGAATTTAACAACAACGCCTTTTTCAGTAACTATTATAGATGTTGTTATGAAAAACAAACAAACATCAACACAGACATTTCTTAGTAATAAGCAGAGAACGAAAAAGAAATGGTTAAGTATTCTTGCGATTGCTGGTCACTAAAATCATCCGCGAAAAGAAATTTTATGACGTATTTTGATGAAGCACGAAATGAATCTCTAACAAATTTTTTACTCTTTCTACTCTCATGTTTGATGTTGTTCAAGACTCGAGCATTGGAAATAATTATTTTGTGGAAGACATTATAATTTTAAAAAAAATCAACAAGATAATGCTATTCAAACACAAAACATTTATATTATTTTATTTCTATGGTCAAGTATAGTCTAGGGTCCTTTTTAGTGCAAACTGAATTTTGACAAAAAAATGACTCTTCTCTATGGAAATTGTGAGTTGTGCGAGTATTCACAAAACGCGTCGCTTCGTCCATAGTAACGACATAAAAATCTTTAGTTATTCAACACTGCACTCGCCATCATGATCATCCTCGCAACTGAAATACCATTCCATGTCTCACACGCAATCGCCAGCTTTGCTAGAACACGTCTCAGCATCTATATTATCATATATATTGTATATAGCCTCCATTTTTACAGAGTGGGCGTGAGTGTGCGGTTGATGGTTGTCGGTGTAGATGAATGAATGAGGGTGTTGGCGTGAGTAACAATCTATTCCTTATGAACATCTGCAGTCGTATCTACACACATTCTCGATTATTCTTTATCTTCTTTTTCTTTTCATAAGTCCAAAACAACGTGCATGAATATTCTATAACTTATATAATGTTATCAAAAATATGAAAGATCAACAAAATAGACACATTCAGATAAATAAAAAAAATCCAGTATTGAGATATCTTTAAAATGAATAAAATTCATAGAAAAATCTTCCTTTACATATTATTTGTTTTCGCACTTATCAGATATTTTAAATAAATAAATAAACTATAATGCAGTTATCTAATTGACTATTCTCACCTACTTACCACTGGATAACGATTAGGTGTAAACTTTTGGAAAGCTTTACATCTTCTTAATTATGTTACAATCTTCTGTGAAAGACATTCACATATTTATTTTTATTTGTCCGTTTCACAAATGATTGTTCGTCTTACAAAAAGCTTTAACAAGTATCTGCATATAGATGAGAAAAATCTATTGAAGACATTTCAATATCATCCAATTCTGAAAATAAAAAATTGAAGTATAATACTTTTATTTATCTGTTTTTCAGAAATCAATAAAATTCAGAAAGCAAGTTGATCGTGTCCATTTTGAAATTTTATATTGAGTCAAAGTTCATTTTTTTTGATAAACAATATGTTTGTGTTATCTTTTAGAAGTAGTTGATATTCGACTAGAATGTATTTCAGAAAACTATCACATATTATCTTATGCAACATTTGCATAAAAAACTTAACTGCTTATAATTCCTGAAAATATTTGTAAAACATACTTTCAAATTTTGAATAGCAATAGTGAAAAATTAATGTATTTGTATTAACATAGATCTTCTTTGTATGTAATACCTGTATCTATGTTTAATATTAACGAAAAAAAAATATAATGTGTAATGATTAACTTAACTGTGTAAAATTATTATATGTAACCAACTATTTCTGCTTAGGTTAAAGCAATAAAGAGAACACAATTTATTTATGAACGACCATTCTGTTCACTATATATGACAATAGAATTCAAATTAATTTTTTTTAATTAAACTATTAATATAATCGTTGTATAAAGTATATTTGTATTTTACCATGAGATTATGTTTATGTTGAGCTTTAAACTAACGATATTTATGAACGAAAAACATATAATGATCAGTATTTTTAAATAGTTTGAATCAATTATTAAAATAAATGGTGGCTTAGTTTTAGAAAATAAAATAAAATTGGTGTTACAGAATATTAGACAATGAAATTAATTCATAGTATATAGTCATATGTTGTTCTTTCGTTGAAAAAACATTGATTTATCAATCAAACCGTTTATATAATTTATTTACTTGGATTCATCTGAAATTCTAGGATTAGGGTGTGGGTGTATCATGATAAACAACTATCGACAATTTGTATAACCTATGAAAATCGATACAAATTGAAGATTAAATTCTAATTATGTACTCATGATGTTTTGTATGTATGTCAACATTACTAGATAGAATATGATATGTTATGATAATATCTGTCAAAAGTATACTAGATAGACAAAAAGAACCAATCGAGTTTTTAAGAATCGCGATAAAATAGTATTTAACAGAAAGTTCGTAAGATTATAGATTTATCTTAAGAATATCAATTTGAAGTAAGATAAAAGAAACGCACACCTTCAAGATTACTAGAAGAATTTTGTTTTCATCACAGAGCTGAGAGAAAGAGATCAAACAAAAGGTATATTTTATGATGATACATTATTGAGTTATATCAAATATTGCCTATAGTTACATCTACCAATTCTTTGTGTTGTTCGAACACGCTTTATTTTTATCGAAGACATTAATCTTTGAAATGATGATACACAGTTTAGTCTTACTTGTGAAGGGTAGTTATCGATTTTAAAGAAAAATATTTACATAAGAACACAGTAAGTAACACTTATCTATGATCATAAAAGTGCTGTATCTAGGCCTTCAGTAGAATTTTTATACACACATTCAACAAAAAATACGATTGTACTCGCGGCATTGCTTTTAAATAAGGTTTGAAACCGCATCTTCATTTCAGATTAATCATACACAATAATCTTTTCTTTCGATTACCTTTCCATCCACCATATGTCTTTTTCTCGTGATTTGCTTTTTAACCAACCAATAATAGTGAACATATTAGGCAAGCAAACAGACAACTTACTTTATACTTAAATCGTATCCATGAGAAAAAATATATTCTTTTTTTTTCTTTCTGTTCTTTGACTCATATATATACGATGTCAAAAGGTACAAGATAGTTTATTTCTTTTCATTCTTCTCTCTGTATCATCACATGACGCACGTGTAACCAAAGTTCATTTTTATTTTTTCGTATACTGAGTAAAACAGACTATTTATAGCTTCTTCTTACGTATTTTTTCTTTTTTCTATAAAACATCGTCATTTTTTATGATTTTGATCAAGTAAGAATAAGATATTTCGTAAATTCGCTCCTATCATTTAGCAAAAAAACAAAAAACTTTATTGCTTTTAGATGACTCTGAATATATTTACTCGTACATTAAGATCCACAAGAGATATTGTATTTAAAAGATTTATAGGAACATTCCTAAAAGCAATATTTGAATGTTATATATCATTGCTATTCGTACAAATACCAAGATTTTGTTATTATGCGATTACATTAGGAAAAACTGATGAAAGACATGAAAAACAAAAAAGTCTTCGAGCAAAATTAACTGACGATTCAAATCCATTAGCACCATATAGAGCTATTGAGGTTCTTGATAAACTTAAAAATCAACCAGAAAATAAAGTTGAAACTTTAGCTATTATTCCTGAGCTATGTTTACAACGTTATGGAGATAAACAAACAATGGGTGTCAGACCAATTACTAAAGTTGAAGATGAAAAACAACCAAATGGAAAAGTTTTTAAAAAGGTTTGATTTTTAATAAAAACTATTTTTATTTAACAAAAAAACTTTTTTTTTAGTTTTCATTTGGTGAATATCAATTTACAACATATCGAGAGGCTTGTGCTCGTATTGATTCAATTGGTCGTGGTTTATTATCATTAGGTACTAAACCAGGTGATAAAATTTTAATTTTTTCTGAAACACGTCCTGAATGGTTATTAACTGCATTTGCTGCTTTTCAACATAAATTAACTGCGGTTACACTATTACCAACATTAGATGAAGAAGGTGTTAAACATGGAATTCAAGAATCAGAAATTAAAACTATTGTTACTTCACAAGAACTTCTTCCTAAATTAGAAGTAAAAATAAAATTTTCAAAAGTATATTCATATATATATATTTTTTATTTAGAAAATATTAGGTGAAACAGAAAAAGTTCGTCATATTATCTATTTTCCTTCACGTGCTATAAATGAAGAAGCTAAAATACCAAAAGATAAAAATAATATACAATTTATTACATTAGAAAAATTTGAAGAACAAGGAAAACTTGCTTTTATTGGTATTATCATATTTTATTTTATTCTTTATTTATTTTTTATTTATTTTATTTAGATGAAGAAACTTTGAAAAAACGTCCTGAAAAAAAAGATATCGCTGTTATTATGTACACTAGTGGAAGTACTGGCCCACCAAAAGGTTATTTAAAGTCTTTAATAAAATAAAACTAAATCTATTTCTTATTTAAGGAACATGTATAACACATGAAAATATTGTTGCTGCGATGACTGGTCAAAAGGAACGTATTTTTCCAATAGTTGATATTGACAGTGATATGTATATAGGTTATTTACCATTAGGTCATATTTTTGAACTTTGTTGTGGTATGTTTATTCTAAAAAATATATAAATTTATAATTTGTTTTGTATATTAAAATAGAAATACTTATGTTTTATTCGGGTATTAAATTGGGCTATTCATCTCCTCAGACATTAACTGATCAATCGACATCTGTTAAAAAAGGTCAAAAAGGAGATTTACAAGAACTTCGACCAACTTTAATGAATGCCGTACCGGTAAGAAGATTTCATTTATTAAAAATAATATTCATTTTTCTGTTTTGTTTTTTTCAAAGACAATTCTTGATCGTATTCAACAAGCTCTTTATGGAAAAATAAAAGAATCAAATTTTTTCGTACGTCAATTATTTAATTTAGTATGTGCAATTAAAAATAAACGTTTAGAATATGGTTTAAAAACTCCAATACTTGATCGGTAATATTCTTTTTATTATATTCATAATAAAATATTTCAATATTTTAGATTAGTATTTTCTCGTTTTAATAAAACGATTCTTGGTGGTCGACTTAAAGCAATTATGTCTGGTGGTGCTATTTTAGCTGAAAATACTCAACGTTTTGCTGAATGTGTACTATGTGTTGACGTTTTTCAAGGTTATGGTCTTACAGAAACATGTGCTGGTGGAACTATTACTGATCGTAATTATATATGTTTCATTGATTTACTTATAAAAATAAGTTCCATTTAGATTATGATATATCAGTTGGTCGTGCAGGATATCCAATTATATCAAGTGAATTTCGTTTAATTGATTGGGAAGAAGGTCATTATAAAACTACAGATAAACCAAATCCACGAGGTGAAGTTCTTATTGGAGGAAAAATTGTTGCTGATTCATATTTTGGTGATGCAGCAAAAGAAAATGATAATTTTAAAGAAATCGAAGGAACAAGATATTTTTATACTGGTGATATTGGAGAAGTTTATCCTGATGGAACATTAAAAATTATTGGTTAGTTAATATATTTAATTCTTTTGTATTTTTTAAATATTTTCTTCTAGATCGAAAGAAGGATGTCGTTAAAATAAGTAATGGAGAATTCGTATCATTAGCTAAAATTGAAATGTCAATGAAAAAATTACCAATTGTTGAAAATTGTTGTTGTTGTGCAAAATCTTCATCAGCATATACTATTGCTTTAATTTGTCCAAATTCGAAAGAAATCTCAGTAAGTTTATTGAAATGCCATTTTTTTTCTATATATAATTTAATTTTTTTTATAGCGTTATGCAGAAAAACATTATAATGAAAAAGAATGGAAAAATATAGCTGATGATGAAGATTTCAATGATGAAATACTTCGAAAAGTTATTGAGATTTGTAAAAAAGATGGAGCTGCAAGTTATGAAATACCAAAAAAAATCAAAATTGTTAAAGATCATTGGACACCTGAAACTGGGCTTGTCAATGATGCACTTAAATTAAAACGAAAAGCAATTGGAGAAAAATATAAAGATGATATTGAACAACTTTATTCAGATGAATCGAATAATGATTCAAAAAAGAAAACAAAACCAAAATCAAACGAGAAAAAAGATGATAATGACGATGATAAGAAAAAAGATCAATAAATAAACACGCAGTTTCGTTTTCAGTTTTTTTTATATTATTTCCGCGTATAACATTTTTTTGTGACTAAATTAGCTTGTATATACTAGTTATGTACTATTAACTAATAAACATGTTGTTTTCGTTAACTCATTCTATTTATTTAATGATAAGGAATTTATTCATTTATTTGCAATATATTCAATCAATGAAGTGTTAAATACAAAAAAAAGAGAATTATTGTTCATTATATGCAGCATAGTGTTTACAGTTAGGATCATGTCGATGATTTCCATCTTGTCGAATAGCATTATAATCTGCTAAACATGACCAACAGAATTCATATCGACATTTTGTACAAGTCATATGATCACATCCAGATGCTTTTTCTATTCGACAAGAACATTTTGGACATTTTTTACAATTTTGTGCAATCCAAGTTTGTGTAGCTCGTTGTGCAGGATTTTTAGTAGCATCATATCTGAAATTAAAAAAGATTGCTAATTTATTAAACAATAATTTTGAGAACTTACTCATGGCATGTACGCCCTTCATGCCATTTTGTTTTATGTGTAAAACATGTTTTCCTACGACATTTATCACATAGAACAATATTATTGTCATGTCCACCTTCGTTTAATTGTCCCATTCCACATCCATGTGCACACCAAATAAATTCTGGCATATTTTCTAATTGTCTATGAAGAACAAATCGTTCATATTTATTAACTAATTGCATATCATTGTTCCTTGATAAAATTTTTAGTACAATTCTATATTTAAAACCAATACCACAATTTAACTCAGGGCAACGAACATCATCTGTACACATCTTCCCAAGTTCTTGTTTAACATGTTGATAAAGGCAATCATCACAAATTGAACGTTCTTTATGACGACATTGATGACTATATTTTGTCGCAAAATTTGCTTGGGATTTTTCATTGAAGCATACTTGACATTGCATTGTTGTTTGTTTCTGTCTTACAGATTGCATAGTTTGATTATTAGATGATGATGATTTTTCGTTATTGAATAAGGATAGATTTGTTGAAAGACACGCTAAACAATAATGATTATTTTTAATCACCAAATAAGTCTCTGATAAAACTTTTGTCTGACACTATTCACATTTCATTTTATGTAATATACTGTATAAAAATGCATGGTTATATAGGGTTGCTTTTGTAAATTTCTTTGGAATTTTTCCTTTTCTCTTCTTTCCCATTGAAGTTTCGTTTCATGAATCATATTTTAAAAGAATGGAAGAAAAAAGATTTTTCCAGTATTGAAGTTATTTAAAAATTCCACCCTATTAAGCAATTTTATAACCGTAAAAGTAGAAACGAGTCGTTGGATAGAAAGAAGCCAATCGTGTTTTATTTGTTAACAACAAAATCTTAAAGATTGTATAGTTAAATAATGACTTCATTGATTTTTTCGTACGAACATTTTATTGAAACGAAAAATGAAATAAAAAAATTGTTTTTCATAAAAGAATTTTGATTAGATTCTATATATAATTTAATAGGAAATTTCTACTTTCAAACATGAACGTTTTTTTTCGACATACAATCTGTTCGATCACTCATATACTTGTTTTCATAACATTGATTAACAAAATATTTACGAAATGATTCAAATTTAATTTTTTTATGAGTTCAGCGCCGTAAGACAGCGAAAGAAAAAAAAGAAGTAAAACATGACAACCCACAGAAGAAGAAAAAAAAGAAGAAATAGCACATCATATTATACAAATAGAGAGAGCGAGAGAGTTGAGTCCATTATTTATGTATATATGTATGTGTATATACGACTATTCAAATAATATGGACGACCCATGATGAGTATAAAATTTCTTCGTGTTATTTGTTTTTTTTGTGCAAGAGTTATATAAACTACACAGATAAATGAATACACACATGAAATAATGAATAACAACAAGAACAACAACGAAAGATTTCTTTTTTTGTGTGATAATTCAATTCTTTATTTTTCACGTTGATTATATTTATGCTAAATAACGTAAAACATCTTTTTCATTGGATTGTCGTTCGAGATATTCTTTTTCAATTAATATATCAATACATTTCTAAAAATATTAAATTTATATTTTTTATTTATTTCGATTAGATATTTTAATTTTACTTTAATAACAGGAATTTTCGGTTTAAAACGTGAACTTAATTGTTGAATAACTTCTTGCATTAATAAAGCATGTTTTAATGTTTGTCGAGCTTTCATTATTCGAACAATTGCAGCTTGTATAACCATTTTACGATCTTCATCAATTGTTCGATGAACACCTTCAATGTCTTTTTGTTCAACTGATTTTAATGGAACATTGAGATTTATTCGAAGTTTTTTACTATAAAAAAAAGTAGATAAAAATTCAGTTTTTCTTTATAATAATTTACCTTTTAAAATCTGTTGCTAATCGTATTGAATAAGTTGTTTTAATATCAGTATCTTTAAAATCTTCATCAAGTTCATCTTCATTTATATCTGTACATATCAATAATTTACTTTTAAGTAAACCTAAAAGAATTTGTAGTAATAATTCTAATTTAATCTGTGTTTCATCTTGTAATCGTTCAACAGTCCAAGTTAATAATTTATTAAATAATAATAAAACAACCATTTGATATGTTGAAACTTGTAAAATATATTTTTGTGATGTAAAAAATGTTTGTAATTCTCCTTTTGAATGTTGATGAAGCCATGTTAATTTTCTACCATTATGACGATGAGTATAAAAATCAGTAAAACTATCAAATGTCGGTTTTAACTATAATAAAAATAAATAAATAAATTAAATAATTAGAAATATATATATATATTACTTCAGCTGGTAAAACAAAATTTGGTGAAGGAGAAAATGGCCATGAATTAGAACTGAGAACCATTACAGAGAAATCAACTATAAGAAGAAAATTTTCATTCGAAATATTGTAAAAAATTTATTATACCTGTGTTCGTTAAATGATTAGTTTCACAATATTTTTCATATTCAGATATAAGTGTTTTACTCACACCAATATCTTGAAACATACGTTGTAATTTTGATGTATATTCAAAACCACATGCTTGCTAGAAAAAAAGAAGAAATACATAAAATACTATTCTTCGCACATTAATAATATCAAAATCAAGTTAATCTTTTTTTCTTTAGAATATTTTAGCTTTTTGTCATAATGATTATTTCATAAGATTTTCATGTTTTACAAAATTATCGGATAATGAACATGTCTGAATTATACATAAGTGGCGGATTCAGGAGGAAGGGCGATCCCCCCCCCCCCCCTCCTTCCAAAATCCTAGATCCGCCACTGTTATACATGATCTCAGATCTATCGAAGCGTTTTTTGCTTAAAACATCTTTTTCTAAGGTGAATATTCTGTTACACATTGTTTATGTAACCTTAGTAAGCACATTTTTTAAATGATCTTAACGAAGTACACGTGAAGTATAAAATAACATCATGGTACGAGATTATTCTGTAACAATATTTCCATGTTGAACTTGTACTTATTCAACTCTTCCGTGGTAGAATGTCAATTTAATAGAAACAAGTGTGTTTGCTTGATTTTTTTGAGATAAAATCGAATAATTACTTTTAGTTTTGAAATCATTGATTCTTCATAATCATCTGAAGCACTTAATTGGCCAACTAAACGTTTTGCTAACATTTTACCATAGAATTTTTGATAAACATCTTTATCTTCAACATAATTAAACACGATCTATAATATATATACATATATGAATAGATTTAAATCACGAAAATAAAACTACCATAATTTGATTGAATTTTTCTTCAAGATCAGTTTCTTCAACAGCTTTACTTCTATAGACGAAAAACTTTTTTATAGATTAGATATTTATTTAAAAACACAAACCCTTTTCGTAACAGCGCATCACAATATCGAGCTAATAATTCAGGAGATTTCGTTGTACTACCAGCTGTTTGTGTAACTACATTATTATTTATAAATTTACCACAAGCCTATTATAAACAATAAATAAACTATTTAAATAAAAAAAAATGAATTACTTTATCAAGAGCAGCAGTAAAACCTTGTTCGCCACCAAAAGCATCTTGTACAAGTTTTAAATATTTCTTATGAATATCTATCGTTGTTTCAATATATAGTTTTGGATCCTAAATAATACAAATTAATAATGAATAGAAATAAAAATTTAACTTACATTAATAGCTGTTCCACTAACACGTTCTATAGTATTAATACCCATTTCATAGATATGATTTTCTACTATATTTTTTAATTCATTTGTTGCATTTGGTACACGACTAACTAATTTATATAATGGTGCTAAATCTATTTCAAAAAGAAATCATAAAATAGTCTTTTGTTTATATTATTATAAATAACTAACCTTGATGTCTTTCATCACGAAGAAGTGTTTTAGCTTCCGTATAAATAACATCAAGTTGATCACGAATAAGAACTTCTTCAACTTTTTTAATTAATACTGATAATGTTGATGGATGTAAATATGATTGTACACGATGAACTTCTTCATCAAGACGTTGTGCTACTTTTCTTAGATATTCAGTAACAGAATTATGAACAAGAAATGTTGCGGCTTCTAATCGATAGAACTGTTCTGTATCATGTAAAAATTGTATTTCAAAAAAATCTTTATATATAGTTAATGTTGGTGATGTCATTTGATTATTATTTGTTGTATCTTCTGTAAAACCAAGAGCAACTAAAAGTATTATTATTTAAAATATATATAGATAATAAAAATTCAATATATATAATTTTAATTTACCATAACTTTGTATAACACCACTAATTAAACGAGTATTAATAATTTCATTATTTCGTTCAGATTTAATTAAATCAAGACAAGCATGTGTAACTTGTTTATATAATGGTTGAAAAACAACTTTTTGCCAAGTTTCCATAGCCATCTAGATTTAAATTTTGTTTTTGTTTAATCAAGAAAATAAAAAAATATTTATTTATACATACCGTATAAATATCATAAATATCTTTTCTTCCAGAATTGAATTCTCTTTGTACCCAATGTCGATTAATGTACGAACAAAAATCATTCATTACTTTACTTGAAAATTGATATTTCTCCCAACGATTTGTATAAAAACGAAGAACATCTTCACCTTGGAAATCTACTCCACTCTAAAATTCAATAATTAATTAAGAAAAAAAATGGTTCTAATACAATAGGTTAAGATATTAACTTTAATGGGAATTTATATTTTTTCATATAGTTTCAATTGAAATATTTGAATAAATAAGAGAAAAAAAAAGGCTTAATTAAATTCTATTGCTTTCTGATAATATATTTACATTGTATTCGATTTCTCAACAACAAAAATTAGGAATTCATATTTTGCATTATTTATGATGACACATTTATTAAAAAAAATAATCATCATATGAGTCATCTATATGTAATTGATCAAGAATTTCGATAGTGAGAAATTTGTAATTCATGCCTTTTTGTTTTATATAATAACAAGTTTTGTTTAGTGTCGCCTATGGACGGTTCAAGGATGTCTGTATTAATTTGACCTTCTCATCCACATTACTCCAACAAGGAATTTTAATCATTTATCAAACGTTCACAATATCTAATATATATATAGAAAACGTTTTTCTAATTCTGAATAAAACTAATTTTACTACATTCATATTGTCTTACTTGACAAATAGCTTCTAGATAATTTTTCAAATAATATTTTAATTTATTATACAATTCTCCTCCAACAATATTAGCTCCATCTTGTGGATTTGTTCTATTTGAACTTCCAATATGTCCTTTCGTATTTGTTACAGATGTTTTTGATTGATTTGGATTACTTATACAATAATCATAAACATGACTAAATATTTGGAATTACAAACAATGAAAAAATATCAGAACAAATTTTCAATTTACGTATAAAGTAACATATAAGCTTGTTTTTTCATCGATTGAAATTGATAAACATGATTAATACCATCTAATAATTTCGCCCAAACTTCATCTAATTTAACATGACGATTTGTATGTGACATCTCCGTCACTTGAATAAAACAAAAAATAAAATAAAATAATCAGCTGCTATAGATTTTTTTTCTTCTCTTTTCCTTTTACTCTCTCTCTCTCCATGGCCGAGAGAAAGAAATGGAGGACAAATATAAAGAATTTTATTGAAGAAATTCTAACCAATAAAATTTCATATTACGAAAAGTAGGAGTTTTTTTTTTCTCTCTTCTTTTTCTAAGTATGAGTCTTGTAGTGTACAGTTCTTCAGATTCGGATCATGATGAAGATAAATCAGAAAATAAAAATGATCGAGTTCGATTATTTCCTGATGAAAGAGGAAATTGGGCTTTATCAATATATGCATTTGGTAAAATATTTATTTAAAATAAAATTAATAAAATTTTTTTTAATATTATTTCTAGTGGAATATTCATCACATTTGGATACAATGATTGATGATATAATTGAAATATTTAATAATGAAAATGAAATTTGGAAACGTTTAGTAGAATTTCATATAAGTTTATCAAAAACATTTCCGATTCGTTTTCATCATATTGAATCAATACGAAAATGTATTCAAAATGAATTATCAGTATCGATGATAAAGTAATTATAAATTCAAATGAAATATATATGTATTTATTTATTTTATGAATAGATTTTACACTCGAATCGAAAATGTTCGAATATTAACGAATGAAGATGGTTCAACGTAAGTTTGAAAAGAATTTTATATACGATTGTTGTTGTTGTTGTAGTTCATTTTTAGTATTTACTCTTGATCAACATCGACAATTTTCTAAATTAGTAGAAATTATTGATAAAATACTTGATGAACATCGATATCCGAAATATTATGAGGTAGGTTATAAATATAATAAAAATAAGTATAAATAATACTTTTTTTTGTTTTAGAATCCATGTTTTCATGTTAGTTTTGCATATTCAACAGTCAAAAATCGAGAAGAGAAATTACCAAAAGATTGGCAAGAACAATGTCAGGTAGAAGTTTAAAAACCAAAGTAAAATTTACACATAGAATAAATGAATTGTTAATTATGCTCAGGGTTCCCGATTGTTTTACATGTAACGTAGAAAATACTTAAATTATGCACTTTCTGTGAAATTTTGCCTCAAAAAAGTGTTTTTATTGGAGTTTCTGGCAAAAAAATACTGAAAAAAGCAAGTTTTTGATCAAGTTTACAGCAGAACTATAAAGATTTTGGCAGAAAGACAAATAGGTTTTCGAATTTTGGGGGGCTAGACCCCCAGCCCCCCTAACCAGAGACCCTGATTATGCTAATTATTATATAGACTATTAGATGAGTCTTTTAAAAGGAGGCAGACGAACTATTTGTTTTATACTAATATTACTTCAATCTCGTCTATTTCCGACTTATTGTTTATTCTATAAATATCTGACGCATTAAAATAACAAATCTTTCCTCTACTCATCTTATCTCACTTGACAGAAGAAAAAAGTTTATGACCTTATAATCAATAAATCAGGGCACTGTATAGTTTTGTTATATTTCTTAATATTTTGAATTTTTAGTCTGTTTTCAAACAATATCAATGTCAACCAAGTGCGATGAGTATATTAATTGATGATATCCGTTTAAAAGCTGGCAAACGTACTTATCAATTAACAAAATCATCATAAAATGTTTTTTTAATCTGATATATACATATTTGTGAGCAAGAATTTGATTTTGTTTTATTTTCAGATATATAATGGCTTTTAAATTTCGTATACCAAATATAGCATTTCGTAAACGAATGTCATGGTTTGATTTTACTATTGCTTGTGTAGTTGGTGTATTGGCTGGATTTTATACATTTAAACCTGGTCTTAAAGATGCCAGAGAAGCGCTCGAAAGACGAGAAGCATTAAAAGAAATTCAAGCAAGAAGACAGGCTGAAGCTGAAAGAGGTATTTCAATTAAACATCGATAGTGATATTATTACTTGTTTCAATCGATGCATAAGACATACAGTATTGATTGATATTTCTCAGATTAATAATTTGACATGTCAGAAATGACTAATGTTTCATTTGGGATTGCGATGATTTATCTATATTTTATCGAATGCTATATATTCTACACTACAGATAATTTAATCTATTGTAATAATCTTTTTGTTTATTTTTAGACTTTAAATTACAAACAACAAAATAAAATCATCGTTATTTTTTTTCCCGTTAGACTTGTTTGTTTTTCCTATTAATAGAATGTTCGTTTTTTCTAGATTAATAAATTCATGTCGTTAGGAAATCCTCCACCACCTATTATTAATAAAGAAAAACCAGAAAATGTACAACAACAATTACGAACATCTAGCCGACCACCATGGCCCGTAGCACTCAAACATATGTGGAAATCTACGAATGCACGTTATGCATTTTTATGGTTTACGGGTGGATTATTATTTTGTTTATTTGGTAAACGAGCTATAAAAAAACGTGAAGAAGAATTAGTAATTAATGATATTGAAAATTATTTAGAAAATAAAAGAAAAAAAGATTTACAATAGACAAAAAAAAGAGATTGCTGTGTTTTTTTAATTTAGTTTTGTCTTTTGTTTTTATGTAGATATATAAAGATTATGGCATCATCATCGGATCGAGCAATTCTCAGTCAGTTTCAACTTGAAAATGGTAATTTACTCGGCGGACCTGTTGAAATTCCATTAACAGTCAATATTCGTCAATTAAACAGTGTTGCTAATGGACTTGTACAAGCACAAGAAAAATTAGCAAATGATTCGAATGAACCAATACCATATTCATTTTATATTGATGAAATTGAAATAAAAGAATCATTAGAAAAATATTTTCAAGATCAAACAAATAAACAAATGTTTGAAAAAACATTAAATATTATTTGTGTACCAAAAGCTCGATTTCAAGTTATACCAGTTGAACGATGTACGGCAACAATTGAAGGACATCTTGAAGCAATAACTATTTTACAATTTAGTCCAAATGGAAAATTATTAGCATCAGGTAGTGGAGATACAACTGTAAGATTTTGGGATTTAAATACTCAAACACCATTTGATGAATATGGAAAAGCACATAGACATTGGATATTATGTTTAAGTTGGGCACCAAATGGAAAAATAGTTGCATCATCTTGTAAACAAGGATTGATTGGATTATGGGTTGGTGCTACAGGCAAACAGCATGGTAAGATTTATTTATCAAAGAAAAACATAGATTGATTTACGAAAATATTTCTTTGTAGGTACTAAATTACTTTCCGGTCATCGTCAATGGATAAATTCTTTAAGTTGGCAACCATTACATTTAGATGGTTCCTGTCGTTTATTAGCATCCGGTAGTAAAGATACAACTATTAAGATATGGGATACACATCTATTCAAAACAGTTTTTACTCTCTGTGGTCATACAGCATCAGTAACATGTATCAAATGGGGTGGTCAAAATTTACTTTATTCCGCATCACAAGATCGTACAATCAAAGTTTGGCGTACAACAGATGGTATTCTTTGTCGTACATTAGAAGGACATGCACATTGGGTTAATACACTTGCATTATCAACCGATTATGTTTTACGAACTGGTTTTTATGATCCATCAAAAGAACGTGCAACCGATGATTATGATAATCTTGATGAAATTACCGTACAAACATTAGCACTTGAAAGATATGAAAAAGTTTATAAATTATTTGATACAACTGGCGGTGAAAGACTTGTATCCGGTTCTGATGATTTTACACTTTATCTATGGAAACCAGAAACAGATAAAAAACCATTAGCACGTATGACAGGTCATCAACAATTGATAAATGATGTTAAATTTTCACCTGATACACGTATATTAGCATCAGCTAGTTTTGATAAATCAATTAAATTATGGTCAAGTCGTACTGGTACATTTCTTACAACATTACGTGGACATGTTCAAGCTGTTTATCAAATAGCATGGTCAGCTGATTCACGATTACTTGTATCGGGTAGTGCTGATAGTACATTAAAAGTTTGGAATATTGAAAAACGTTGTCTTCTATTCGATTTACCTGGTCATGCTGATGAAATTTATGCAGTTGATTATAGTCCTGATGGACAAAAAGTTGCTAGTGGTGGAAAAGATAAAGTTTTGAAATTATGGAGAAGATAAATCTGCATAATAAGAAATGTGATTAAAGAATAATAAAAAACATCTTGTTTTTGTTTTTTTTTCTAGATATATTCTTTCATATCGTTCGAAGGTCGATCAGTATGAGTAAGTACATTTTTTGATATTTATATTTACGTAATTTTCTATTATTCAGAAAGTGTAAAGAGGTTAATACTAAAATTGATTAAGACGTATGTATTCTTATTTCTTTTTCTCACCATTCGACATTTCTTTTCATTTATCTTGATGATGTACATCTGTGTATAAATACCATTTGTCTCTAGAAGAATAGAATGAGATAAAGAGAAGAAAAAAAAATTTCGCTTAGCAAATAAATCGCATCTAAAAAATGTGTTTTTTCTATTCATATTTTTGTTTTTATTAGACGGTGTTTTTAAATGAAATTATTTCATTGGAAAAAATCTTAACAAAATGAAATTCGCCGAACATTTATCAGCACATGTTACACCTGAATGGAATAGTCAATATATTCGATATGATGATATGAAAGAATTACTTGCACAAGCAGTTGCTAAAGCACAACCATATGCTGATGATAGTGATAATGTTCTACGTGAGCAATTTTTCATGCGTGTTGATGAACATTTTTTTCAGGTAAAAACAAAATTTCAATTTATTGATTAATTTATATCGATTATTTTTAGTATTGTGAAAAAGAAGCAACGAAAATCAATACTTTCTTCGCAGAAAAACTTGCTGAGTAAGTACAATAATAACTTATAAGATAATAATACATAAACATATCCGTTTCTTCATATTTTGTCGATAATATGAGTAATAAGAAGTCACGTTATATTTCTATAGAGCATTACGACGATGGGAAACTATGAAAAGTCAAGTTGGTCATGTCGAACAATCTCGTCGTCGTGTATCTCATCGTTCCGGAGCATCAGTTGCTGATGCATCAGCTAATAATGAACAAAATGATGAAAAAAAATCATCAATAATAAAACATCGTTCAAATCGTTCAGAAGATCAATCAGTTACAACACCATTAACACGTGTTTTACCTGATCGTTTAGTTGAAAAAACACGTGAAAAACAAACACAACGTATACAATATCGTAAACGTAATGATTTAAAATTAGCATTTAGTGAATTTTATTTAATGCTTGTTTTATTACAAAATTATCAAACACTTAACTATACTGGTTTTCGTAAAATATTAAAAAAACATGATAAATTATTTCAAACAATGCGTGGAGAAGAATGGCGGTAAGCAAAAAATTTTCATTTTTTCAAAAAAAGAAGACAATAATTATTTTTTTTCTTGGTAGAAAATTACACATCGATTCGGCTCCATTTCATACATCAAAACGTGTTGAACAATTAATTAATGATGTTGAAACATTATATACTGATACATTAGAATCAGGCGATCGAGAACGTGCAATGAAACGTTTACGTGTACCACCATTAGAAGAAAAACAATCACCATCAGTTACATTTCGTGTTGGACTGTTTATCGGTAAGAATTAATTTCAGTATTTTATCTAGCGGGTGGGCTGAGTGTAGCGGCGGCCACCCGGTAGTTCGATTCACACGTCCGAAAAAACTATAATATTTTTTAGGAATGATATGTATTTTACTACCAGCTGTTATTGCTCTTGGTGCGAATCTTCATGATAGTATATCAACAAAACCACTTGCATGGCGACAAGCATTATTTCTTTATCGTTCAACATTTTTAGTTGTTCTTCATATAATTCTCGTTGGTATTAATGTTTATGGTTGGTCATCATCAGGTGTTAATCATGTTTTAATATTTGAAATTGATCCACGAAATCATTTAACATATCAACAATTTTTAGAAATTGGTACATTTCTTTTTGTATTATGGTTTTTAAGTTTTACTGGATTTATTTTATCATCTTATTTCGATTTTCATCCATTTATACAACCACTTGGTTTTGTTACATTAATACTTTTATTTTTATTCAATCCAACACCAACACTTTATCATCAAGCACGTTTTTGGTTTTTAAAAATCTTAGGTCATATTATATGTGCACCATTTTATCGTGTTGGTTTTGCTGATTTTTGGCTTGGTGATCAATTAACATCACTTGAATTAATATTTTTTGATATTGAATATTTTTTTTGTTTTTATATTTACGATGTTGGATGGTGGTCAGTTTCGCCTACATCAACACCACAAGGTTTTCTTTGTCATGGTTGGCCACAAGTTTTATTACAAACAGCACTTATGATTCTACCATCATGGTTTCGTTTTGCACAATGTTTACGACGATATCGTGATACAAAACAAAAATTCCCACATTTAGCTAATGCAGGAAAATATGCTAGTGGATTTTTTGTGACCGGTACAAATGCAGCACGTCGTGCAACAGCTTTGTATTATCTTAATAATCCAACATCAAATCCATTTTTATATATTTGGATTATTGCATCATTTATTGGTGCAACATATAAAGTTATATGGGATTTAAAAATGGATTGGGGTTTTTTTGATAAAAATGCTGGTGAAAATAAATTTTTACGTGATCAAATTGTTTATCCATCAAAATTTTATTATTATGCAGCTATTATACAAAATATTATTTTTCGTTATATTTGGCTTATTAATGTTTTTATGCAATTTCGTACACGTTTTGCTGAATATTCCGATATTATTGGTTTTATATTTGGTTTGATTGAAGTTTTTCGACGTTTTATATGGAATTATTTTCGTTTAGAAAATGAACATTTAAATAATTGTGGAAATTTTCGTGCTGTACGTGATATATCAATTGCACCAATATCAACGACTATTGATCATGGAACATTAGAAGATATGATGGATAAAGATAGGGGTATTAAAAATCGACGTAAAGCAAAACGACATGATTTAATTCAAAAATTAAATAATGAAGATATTAAAAGTGAAATGAATGATTTTGAAGCAACTACGGATCTATCACTTCGAACATTATCAACAAATTCAAATCCAATTACGGATGAATTAAATACAACATTAGCAGCTGCAGTATCATCTCAAATAATATCTCATGATGATTTAACAGATCATGCCGTTTTTCTCTAATTTTGTTTTTTCTCGTATTTATATTAACCGGTTAAATCGAATATGATGCATTCCAATCTTGATCAATGTGCATCTAGCGTTCTCTAGTCATATTCATCTGAACAGCTCGTATATCTGTATGTGTGTGTGTGTGTGTGATTTCCAGTAAATCTCGAATAATATGTATCTGAATCTTTTTTTTTCTTCTTTTCTTTGTATTCATAATAAAATAATATATTTTACTGTTTGTTTTTTTTGCTTTTCAAGATGCTTGATAGAATTGAATCGACCTATATCGGTATAGGTCTCGTATTACGAATATTTCTTTTCTTTCAAACAAGAATACGAAATTATTTTGAAGATAGCGGAGAATTTGTTACACCACTAAATTCATGGAAACGAGGTAAAGATTAATAAACGAAGATTATATGTATGTTTTTTTTCCAGTTATCGAAGGAATTTATCTGCGAAAACTCAATTTATCACCATTTGTTGGTTCAATCGTTCATGAAGTATGTATTTGAAATGATGAGATAATCCTCCCACAAATATTTATTATATTTAGACACCACTTTCACTTTTCTTCTATTCAAAAATATATGCAATAACCAATGGTCATGTTGAATGTATATTTATTGTAAATATTTATTTGATAATAAAATTAAAAATATATAAATTATTTTCTTAGGCAATTGATCTTCTAAATGCTTTTCTTACTTACAAAGTAGCACGTCGAATTTTAACACAACTTGTATGTAAAAAAACAACCTTTTTCTATTCAAATAAATCGTTTTTTTTATTAGTTCAATGAACAAACAAAAGAAAAATCAACATATAAAGATGATAGTCAGTTATTATGGTTAACAAAAGAAAATCTTCGAAAAAGTGCTTATGCTGTTTTACTTTGGTATGACAAATTGTGCCTTGTAGCGGCGCCAAGAGTGGGGCTCAGCCCACCCTAATCTAAATTCCTGGCGCCGCCGCCGCTACTTGTAGCTGTGTGCTTTTTTTCTTGAGCGTCACCAGTCGACTCAACACAGTTCAGAGTATCTATTAGAGCGATCAAAAACAGACGAATAGAGTTTTTCGGGAAACGTAGATATCCGTAAACTTCAAATTTGGAGCACACTTTATTTAACCAAAATTCTCTTATTTTGTTTTTTTTTATATATAGTGCAATGATAAATCCATTATCTATTGGAACATGTGTTGCTAAATCAAGTTTAGTTTTTCATAATCTATTACTTACAATGACATTTTATTTCTTTATGACATGTAAGAATATTATTCGAATATACATTGAAATAAAAAACCATGTTTTATATTTAGATCAATTATTACCATTTATAATAACATTATGTTTAGCTAGTTCAGTTTCACTCTATCCAATTGTTTTAATTGCACCAGCTTTACTTCAATTTTCAAAAAATAATTCCGTAAGTTTTTTTATAATTTCAAAGTTATCTTCAATTCATTTTATCATTTTCTAGAATCAACGATCAATCATTCGTATCTTTTTTGTGTTAATTCTATTTATTAGCGTAACTATTGGTATACTTTTTTTAAATTTCTTTCTTAATCATCAATCATGGTCATTTCTTGAATCAACATATAGTTTTATGTAAATATTTTTCTTTCAATATCATTTCACTCTCATATTAAATTTCTAATTAGATTTCACGTACCGGATTACACACCAAATATTGGTATATTTTGGTACTTTTTTACGGAAATGTTTGATCATTTTCGTTCATTATTTGTCTGGACATTTCAAATGCATGTTCTATTACTCTATATATTTCCATTTACAATTCGATTAAGAAATGATCCAATATTTCTTTTTTGGCTTCTATGTGCAATATTTTGTACATTTAAATCCTATCCGGCTTATGGTGATGCAACATTCTATTTTAATTATTTACCAATATGGAGTTTTCTTTTTCGATGTAAAAAAAAACAAACGAAAATTTTTTGAAATATAAAAATCAATTATTTTTTCTTTTATATAGATGTACGACATAGTCTTGTTATTATTTGTATGATTTTGGTAGCTTTTTTAATGGCACCAATAACATGGTATCTTTGGATATATGCTGGAAGTGCAAATGCAAATTTTTATTTTGCAATGACAATGGTATTCAATGTTGCACAAGTAAGATTTACTAGAAATTGAAATTATAGGAAATAATTTAATTTTTTTTCAGACATTCCTTATTTCTGACTTACTTTATGCTTATATAAAACGAAAATTTTTACTTAAAAATGGCCTTACTGTTCCAGAATTCAATGGTGTGGATGGTCAATTAGAATTTCGTTAAATATATATATATACTCTGAACAAAATGACATGATAATACTTATGGTGCTGTTTATATAGATTTATTAATTCTTTGTTTCATTTCTGTTTATCTATGAAATAAAAAAATCTAGGGTAAAAAAAGAATCGAAGCGCGCGTGATCATCTTCTTATCCGTCCCAATCTTGATTTACATATGTCCTTGACCTCGATAGCAATTTTTTGTCAATGATCATAGAACCGGAATTGATTCCGCACATCTCTAATCGTGAATTCAATAATTATTAGATGATTTTTATTTAAAAGCAAAAATTTGACTATAATTACAATCACAAAATTTAGAAAAATCTGAATATGTATACTTTGCGGTAGAGTATTGTATCATTTTTGATATTAATTCATGTATAAAATATGATTTCTAGTTTATCACATACATATAAAATATATATATATAGTATTTTGTCATTTGAGAGAAAATTTATCATCTGACTTGGTAAGTTACGATTGATGCATGATCTAATTTCCCAGGTATTGTTCCAACTACTTTTCGCATTTCCATTTCAAATTTATTACGTTCTAAACCTTCAACACCTTCATTTTCACGAACACCTTTTTCAATGATTTGTCTTTGTTCATCTGTTAATCGTATAACATATTGTAATAAACGATTGCATATATCAAGTGCAGTTAATTCTTCTCCATTATCAGCAATAGATAAATACATTTGTTTAAGACTACTTAAATGTCTTTCATAAGCTGTCATTAACATCGGTGGTATATGTGTTATTGCACTACTTGATTTTCGAGCAAGTAATGGTGTTTTAATACTAGCAGCAGTACCACTTACACAAGGATCATAATTATCACTAATACCATCTGTTGTTAAAAATACAAAATCACCTTGTTCGATTTCCATTATTGAATATGTAAGATTAGTAAGATCAGCTTTTTCATCCATTGTTGTTCCTAGAGCACCACCTGGTGAACGCATATCACGTTCATTATTTAAATCTCGAGATCCTTGTGTTAATTCATAAACGGATTTCTGTTTTCGACTATAGACATAAGCATTTGAATCACCAACAATAGCTGAACAAACTAACCAACGACGATTTGATGGACAAACAATACTTATAGTTAGTGTTGTTAATGAACCTTCACTTTTAAATATTAATTCTTGAGCTGCATCTATTGCTGCTTTTATTCGTTCGAAAACATCCTATAAAAATAATAATATTTACCTACGATAAATAATAAAATTATACAATACTTTTGTAGTAGTTAATTTCTTTTCAAATAATTGTTGATTAAGACAAGCCATTGCACCATGTATTGCACATCGTGCTGCTAGTCGAGCTTTATAACCCCAATTTACACCATCAGCAATCATTAAAATAGCATTATTTTCTTGAGCACATATTCCAAAACAATCAGCAACTGGTTCACCTATGATAAAAATTCGATTATTTATAGTAGAAAAGATGATGTTTTTTACCATTCACTTCTCCAGTTACTGGATTATGATCATAGAGAGATGTTGAAAGGCCACAAGCAAATTGTTCATTCGGTATTTGCCAATTAAATTGGCCAGCAACTTTTATAGAATTATTTACTTTTAAAATTCCTTTTTCTATAAAAAAAATGATTTTTTTATATAAAGAAAGAATGATTTTACTTTGATGACGAGCAATATCAACTAGACCAACATCCGGACCCGATTCACATGCAAGTGTATTTCTTTCTAATGGTGAGATTGTTTCTACCGGTAATTGTAAATAATTTTGATTTGCATAGAGTTGATAACGTTGAAGATGATTTGATGGTAGAAAACTTTAAAATATATCAGGATACAAATCAATCTTAATTATTATAAAACTTACAAAGAAACAATTTTTTGCCATGGAAATCGTCGTTCAGAACTCATCTAGAAGAACAAAAAAACAAAATGAATCACAACCCGATAACAACAAAAACACAAAAAAAGTTTTTTTTATTTTGTTTCTGTTAAAATAGTTGGCAAAGTACATGTTATATGAATGGTTGATACCCATCGTGTATCACTCGTAGGTTCTAAATCATCTAGCAATGGCATTAAATGATCAGTTACTTCAATACTCGATATTGCTGTATGTAATTGACAGTTTGTTTTTAATTGAAATTGTAATGCTAAATTAATCGTTCGTTGTAAAGCTGAACCCATACCATGAATACATATATCACGATAATTTCCATTTGATGATATTAATTTCATACAACGTTCTAATTGTGCTTTAAAATTTGTTTTACGTGTTACATAGATATCATTTGGACGTTTAGAAAATTGTTTATTATTCAGACGTTTAAATATTGCATATTCTTCTGGATCACGATGAAATTTTTCTTCATTCATTATCTAGAAGAAAATATAGAAGTATTATTTTAAATTAGGTAAAGATGAACCAAAATAAATTTTTAAATCATTTAATGTTATTTTAACAAGTTTAGCACGAATAGTTTCTGAATTTAAACGTTTATAAGCTCTAAAAACAGGAGGAATAAAAATACACAAAAAAATTACATAATAATATCTTACTCCCAACGATGACAACCGCCCATAGCAAAAAAATAATTATTTTTTGAATTTGGTGCTTCATACCAAAGAACATCAATTGGGGGTATTTGATCATTTTCCATTGTCTAAAGAAATGAAAACACATGTTTTTTTTTTCATTTTTGAAATAAAATATTACTTGAATAGTTTTCATTAATGATTGAACTTTGTGTTCATCAAGTACTGATTGTAATGGACGACTTATATCTTTCATTGGTACATTATAAATTTTGTCAATTGATGCCGAATGAATTGATGATGATGATGAACTTGCTTTTATTGTCGAATAAATCGTTGGAAATAATGATGTGGAAAAAAGATTTAAGTAAATCAATTTTGTCAACATAATGAAATTTTCTTTTTTGTGATCAAATTAGATTCATTCATTGCATCCGAATAGAAGCAAGTGAGTATGACTCATCATCATCATCAAATAGATGATTTGTAAAAATACAGCGACATCTGAATTAAGACGGAATACAAAGTTTGATGATTTAGTTCGAACTAGATTTAGAGAAAAAAAGAAGAAGTATATTACCCTTTTGTAACAAATTGTTACTAACGAGTGTTTCTTCTAACAAACTAACTCGGTCGTTAATGAATGCAGAAGTATATGGAGGGGAAATTTGGTATTTTCTTTCTTTGTTGATACTTCCGTCTGTCATTCATGACCTTTCTGTAATCAACGGGATGTATTAACATCTTTTTCATCATATAACACACACATATTAGTGGTTCCCCTAATACCTCATTAATTGAATTGTTTCTATATACTGTGTATATCCTTGTAAGAATAACGGAAAAAATCTGGATCAATTTTTTTTATTTTATATAATTAGCGAAGAAGAAAGAAAAGAAGAAGGAGATAAGTGTTTAACATATTATTTCTTGTGTTTTATCTCTAAGATATGATAATTCACGTTGATTTAATCGATTTGTTTTTTCAAGTTTATTTCGTACTTCTATATGATACCAATTGACCCAATCCTTTTGAGCTTTTGTTAACATTTCACAGATAATTAAATTTCGTTCAAAAGGAACAAATGTTAAAATTTCAAAATGAAGAAATTGTGTTGATGAACCACCATAATTATTTGGTAATGTATAATTTTTCACCATAATATCTGTTTCAAGTCGAATACCAAAGTTTTGTGGGAGATAAAAACCAGGTTCATCAGAAAATACCATACCATCTGTTAATGGGATATCACTTGAACTATAACCCATACTAATAGAAGATGGTCCTTCATGGACGGAAAGATAATGACCTATGCCATGACCTGTACCATGATTATAATCCATGAAATTCTTATAAAGAGATTGTCTTGCTAATATATCAAGACTTCGACCATAGGTACCAAATGGAAATATCGCATCGGCTAAATCAGTTGAACCTTGAAAAACAAGTGTATAAGCTTTTTTTTGTTCTTCTGTTGGTGTACCGAAAACATGTGTACGTGTTACATCAGTTGTACAATCAAGATATTGTGCACCAGCATCAAGTAGATAGAGACCATCTTTAGTAATTTGTGCAGCTGTTTTTGCTTTTGGACTATAATGAATAACTGCAGCATTAGGACCAAATGCTGAAATCGAATCAAAACTAAGTGTTTGAAATAAAGCTTCGTCTTTTTGAAAATGTTCTAGTTCTTCAGCTGATCTAGTTTCATTAATATTAATGTTATTATTTATTTGATCTTCAAGCCAAGCCAAATGACGTACACGTGCTACACCATCACGTATACCACAATCACGTATGCCTTGTTGTTCGGCTGAATTTTTAGTTGCTTTTACTAGTTCAACCGGTGAACCTAAAATGAGAATATTTTTGTTTCTTCTGGTAGATATCATTGATAATAAAACTTACTATCAATTAAACGTTTTTCTCCTGGAATTCGACTGTAAATAGCTTGAGATGCAGATGCTGAAAACCAAATTTTTGAAATATCGTTGCGAGCAGATAATACAAGGAGATCAGGAAAAAAAGATGTATATGGACGAATATTGACCTTGCTTAATTGAGCACCAGCTTCGGTTGTTAATTGATTCTCGTTCATCCAAAGTTGTGTTGTTTGATTAGCATATACTATTGCATAAGCCTAAATATAAATTTTCTTTTATATACATAATACTAAAAATATTTTTATACTTTAAAGAAAGGATTGTATGGAATATCTGACCCACGTACACTAAATAACCAAGCAACTTCTTCCAGTGCTGTAACAACATAACCATTTGCTTGTTTTGTTTGTACAAGTTCAGCAATTGTTTTCACTTTTTCTTCCCAGCTAATACCTGTATATTTTAATTCATGTACAAAAACTGGATTAGTTATAGGTAATGGTCTCTCAGGTGGTGTCCAAATTAGATCAATTAATTCAGCAACTTCAATTAATGTGGCATTTTTTGCATTTAAAGCACTATTTACTCCTGACCACCAATTCGAAGAAGCAAATGCTGTTGCAACACCAACTCGATTATATGGTGGTGTACTATTTACTTCATTTGTTAACCAAGTAGTTAATGATGGAACACCTGCTTGACCTTGACGCATAAGATACCAATTTTTACAATCAAGTTCATCTTCTGCTTGTGTCCAATATCGACCATCAGTCCATAAAGCAGCACTATTACGTGTGACAACAGCTGTACCAGCTGAACCTAGAAAACCACTTATCCATGCTCGTCGTTCATCATACAATTGAACATATTCACTTCCATGTTCATCTTCTGAAAAGATTACATAAGCAAATAGATTATTGTTGACAAGATGAGTACGTAAATGTTGTAATTTATTGGTTGTATCCGCTTGAGTTGGTCGTGGTTCACAACTAATATTAGTTGTTTGTTGATTTTTTACAAATCTAACATTGATGAAGAATAAAATCAAATAGATTATACTCGTGCTTATCCTCGTCATCACGCTTTCGTCTGCCCTTCGAATGAATTAGATTGTGACATTATTATTTTCGTTTGTTACCTTTTCCTTTTATTTGTTATCAATTGAAAAAGATAGAACGCAAAAAAAGAAAAATAGAAACAAATTCTCAGCATACGAATAAACTTTTATTATTTAATAGATAAGCGCACTTTTATTATACGATTTTGTGAAAGATTTGTTGATTTATTTTGATTTATGTCACATAAAAGACTAAATATATCAGAAGTTGAAGGATTTAGAGAATTATTACATGTATCAGAACATAATGGTAAAATATATTGAATATATAACTATAGAAACCATTAAAGAACGAATAGAAATTGATTAAAGTGAAATTGAATGATAATTTCGAATTATTTCTTGGCGATTCTTAATACATTATTCCACGATTTATTTATCTTTAGGGTCACCATTTATCTGTTGTTATGCTAAAGAGTAGTAGTTTAGTTTTGTCAGTGACTGTCAAGTATCGATAAAAAGCCTTATAATTACACATGAAATATTAATATCAATGGATGCAAAAGTAATCAATATACTTTTTATAATATACAATAAATATAATATATCTATCCTGAGCTTAATACAACTAAAATATATAAAGCATACTAGAGAAGAATCTATAACAATATGATATTTAATAATAAATTGCAAACAAGATAAAATTGATTTATTAGAAAAATCATGAAAGAATAATTTAAACCAATAAGATGTTCTAATAATAATAAGATATAATAATCATTTAAGATATATTATTAGTATGTATATTGACATAAATGTGTTATATGCTTTAACAGAGATTGAATTTTTTTTGTACAATAAAGTATCATAAATGTTAAGAAGAAATATTTATTATTTGTATAAACATTATTTACAAATTACAAAATGAGTTAAGTAATATCATAATAATCTTGAGGGTGGGTGTGGGCGTGAATGCATCTTTTATTTACTCACATCCACGAAGACCTTCATTCTCATTCACTATCCGTATGACCATGATCATAGACTGAGTACAACTTCTGTTCATTATTTATTTTTTAATTCACAAACTTCAGTAAAAATGTCAATAGCTGTAATTGAAAGAAATAATTATCTAAAACTATCAAACGTAGTATTATATCTCTCGCCTGGACTTTTTCTTCAATATTCAATTTGTACAAGATGATGAAAAATGATTAATACGAATTGTTACCTTTGTTCCTGAGAAAGATCTATCTATTAATAATCAGACACAAATCAAAATCACATTATGAGGTGATTTTGAATGATTTCGTTATGATGGTTTTGTCTCTTTATGAAACTGTGCATAGCAGTAGTTAATTATTCAAGCAAATGATGCGATTGAAAAGATGTGGGCGAGCGCGAGAAGAAATGAGCATCCACACCCACACCCACACTCTCAAGATATATCTGACAATATTCTAGTAATGTTTTAGAAATTGAGAATGTTGAATACATCATTTTTTTTACAATTTATCCAACAAATAAAACTTCCTCTTTTTCCATCGTTTTATTTTGTTGTAAAATGTAGCTCTATATCCTTTTCCATTTCTCATACCTCTGTTTTTCTGTTGTATCCGCTCCTTAATCTTCATTTTTTTACATTATTTTTCCATCTATATCACAATTTCCTGCTTTAATTTTTTTCTGCTTCTGTGAACACTCATAGTTTTAGTCATAGTCACAGAATGAGATAGAGAAAGTAGGAGTTATATCATCGATGATTTTATGTTTCTCTGAATGTGAATAGAAAAGAAATGACATCTGCTGTCAGATTTATACATTTATGAGCATAATATATATTGTGGAGATAAACGAGAGAGAAAAACTAGATATATATACGTCACTTATTCATATTATTCTAATCATTGTATTACGCAGTCGACTCTAGATTAAATGGAGAAAAAAAGGTGCTTATTTTGTTATTTAGTAATAATCGAGATGTGATTAGAGAGATTTCTAAGTTGTTTAAATTGTACTTTTACTCTTTCTAACATTAGTAGGAGTTCGATCTTATTCTCTATCATCTTTAGTTTTTTATTTGCTTAAATCTTGATACATATTCAGTTCAATTGAACTTTTTTATTGTATAGAAGAACGCCAGAAGATACGGTAAGTTGATATTTAGTATCTATTTTGTAATAAAAAGTGATAGATAATTATGAAAGTTAAATGAATTACTTAAGTAGACGATAGAACCATCACAGTATGAATAAATGTCAATGAGCTAGTGCAGATGCGTTACTTGTCTCTATTCTCAATGAGACACATATATGTAATACTCGAAAGTTAAACTCAACTATTCAACTATTGTGGAAGGCGACGGTTATGATTGGTGGATATCGAGCTGAGTGTGAGTGAGGACAATGGTATGGTTGATGGGTATTCAGTTAAGGAATAGCTTGTGAGTGTGGGTGATGGTTTCTCTTCTCTACTCACAACTACATCAACCCACACCCAGTACAGTTATTTCCTGGTTTGCGATAGTAGTATAGTGTTGTACAAAACGCTTTATAAGTCGCTCTTGATTAAAACAAATCATTTTTATCTATAAAAAAACAAATATATCCATTGAATTAGTATTAAATGAAAGATTCTTAGTTTAATTTATCTAAATAGTGAACATTGAGAAAAAGGATCAGTATGTTTGTGTCGGGACTTTCACGCAGTAGGTTAAATATCATTTTAGATATACTATTATCAAGATGAATATCTTTTTATTATTTAATATTATTATTATCATTAGCGATGTCTTCATGAAGTCTCAGTTAAATACATGGCAACCTTTCAACAATCTTTACAATACAGATGCAATGATAAATGATATTTCTCATGATTGTTTTTATTTAAGTATAACTGACGAGAGCAAATTGAATGAAAAAGAATATAAAGTTCATCAAATAATTGAATATTGCATTCGGACATCTATAAAAGAAACAGAAGTAAACAGTAATAAAAATTCAATATCATCTGTAGTAACTTTCGATGAACTGAAGAAAAAAAATATAACTGGAAAGAGTCTAATGGAATGGTCAAGTCCGATTGATCTTATTGAACGATATGAACATTTTTTAAAAATGAACAAATCTTCATCGAACGAAGTATTCTATAACTGTATTCTACCATGGTTTGGACCGCTCTGTCAATATAAATTCATTGAAGATCAACCATTTCCAAAGATGATCGAAACAATAGATAATTGGAATGATCAGATTCTATATGTAAATGCGACTTTTACTTGTTATATGCATTTGAAATGCAATCGCGGTTCACCTTATATTTGTCTCGATTGGCGTGAAATATGCGATGGAAAAATCGATTGTCTCGATGGTGGAGAAGATGAAAAACATTGTCTCGAACTTGAATTAAACACATGTGAAGAAAACGAATATCAATGTCGAAATGGAATGTGTATCAACAAAGTCTTTTTACTAGATGAATCGAATAATTTTATCAGTCCAGAGTGTTTAGATAGATCCGATGAACACTTAACCAATGGTGGTGGTATATGTAAGTTTATTCCACTTTTTAAATGCGAAGATATCATGTCTAGATTAACTTCTCATTTTACTTGTGGAGATGGTAATAAACTAGAGGACTATATACCACAGAAGAGATCTGAGTGTAAAAGTAAGCGAGATCAGGTATGGAACTTTCTAATCGGCTGGCACAATAATGAAGACACACGATTTCCTCGCTGTTTCAAGATACTCATATGTACATCGATTATGTTTTCATCGGATCAATTCGATGAATATTGCAAATATTTATGTGAGAATAAGGAAGAATGTAAAATAAAAATTGTTCAATCGTGTCCAACTGCATTCATTGCGCCTACTATACCTGTGTGGGGTGGACATGTTCGATTAGGTTACTTTTCTAATCAAACATTTATTAGTCGTATTGAGGCCACACCTACGTTTATATGCTATGATCAAAAACGTTGCCCATTTCTCATACCAACATTAATAGTAGAAAATTCTACATGTATAGATATAAATACTTTGAATTTGTCATCATATATCGACATTTACCAGCCATTTGTTTCATGTAATCAATTGTTTGTAAGTGCAAATGACACTCACTGTTCAGATCCGACAATGTTACGTTGTTTGGGAACAAATAAATGTATTTCTAAGCGTCGAATTATGGATGGAATTTCGGATTGCTATGGCAATTTCGATGAGTCAATCTCAGCTAATTCATGTGCATTGAATGATACAGATCGTTTTCAATGTACATCGGAACAAAAATGTCTTCGACGCACTCTCGTGAATGATCGACGTGCAAACTGTATAGGCAAAGAGGATGAGTTTTCTTTTGATGGTATCACAACTAATATAGATGAACTTCCTTTTTCTGCCATTTGTGACAATTGGACTGATATATCCAGTTTAACAGATGAAACTGATGAAACTCATTGTGAACAATGGCAATGTGTAAATCAATATACACGATGTAATAAAGTGTGGAATTGTCCAAAAGGCATCGATGAAATCAACTGTTCATCAAGTTTTCAGTGTTCTGCAGATGAGCATCCTTGTCTCACTGGAAAAAATCGAACAATGGGTTGTTTACATATGAAACAAGCTGATGATGGAATTGTTGATTGTCTTGGAGCAACCGATGAGCGATCTTATTGTAAATTACAAAGTCCGAAAAATAGTTCCAAAAATTATCGCTGTTGGAATGACACGAAATGTGTTCAAGTTTCCGACCGTTGTGAGCGTTGTAAAAACTATAACAATATCGATCAATTATGTGGTAGCGGGTATACGGAAATTGTAAAGTATCTAGAATCTGCACAAAACATTCTCTTTCACAATAAAATGTCGTTCTCTCATAAATCTTCACTTAGTTTTCCTCCAATGCAATTACCATCAATTGCTCAAAAACATAAGCAATATCATATAATGGACAATATGAAAATCGATACTCGTATATATCAATATGATCCTCGTGCACCGTCATGCCATCGAGGTGTTGTAATTCTTGTTGGTATAGATGAAAGAGTAGATTGTCTCTGTTCATCACATTATTATGGGAATTTTTGTCAATACCAAAATCAACGTGTTACGCTTACTATTCGAATAGGTCAAGAAAGTTTAGAAAAATTTCATGTAATTGGTATTGTTATTAGACTTGTTGATCATACTGGCCTTATTCATTCATATGAACAAATTACATATATTCCAGTAATTAATTGTGATGCGAAATATAATTTACATCTTCTTTATCAAGATCGACCGAAGAACATGTCAAAGAATTATTCAATCTATATCGATGCATACAATAAAAGAAATCTCACTTATATTACCAGTTGGATATTTCCCGTTCAATTTCTTTTTATGCCTGTTAATCGTATGAGTGCTTTGCTCACGATACCAACATATCAAGATTGTCGTTTATTATGTAGCGACAAATATCTCGATTCATTAAGAAATGTTCACACTGATTCGTGTCAATGTCACCCAGACCGAGCAACTTCGATTTCCACTATTAAATACAAATGTAACTGTTCACCAGACTCGATCTGTGTTGATTTTATCAATAATCGATCAATTTGTCTTTGTTCTTTAACAAAAGTTGGTCCTCGATGTTATCTTAATTCAATTTGTCAAATGGATACATGTAAGAATAAAGGTATTTGTGTACCATCTGATCCTCGACATTCTTTGGCTAACTTTACATGTGTCTGTCCAGAGGGATTTTCTGGTAAAACTTGTGAAGATAAAGACGTACAAATCGATATGTCATTTTCTGATGTGGAACCTACCGGATCTCTATTGATTCACTTCATCAAAGTGATAAAACTGGAAGAAATGACCGAAGATCAAGCACCAACTCGAATAACTATTTTTAAAAAAATTCTATTTCATCAAAAGATAATTACATTTTATATGGCACTGCCTTTTCATCTCGTCTTCGTTCAACTTGAGAATGTTTATTATCTTATTGTACTTCAACATGAATATACACCTTCAATTGTTATATCTACACAAATCTCTTCATCACAACATTGTCCACACATTCGAGAACTTGATAAAGTTATTGCTGATTATCCGATTCTTCGTCGTGTAAAATATTATCATGCAGTATGTAAAAAATATCCTCATCTGATGTGTTTTCATGATAATGAGACATTTATGTGTCTATGTACACAAGAAAGACATGCAAATTGTTTTCATTTCGATTTTACTAAGAATTACAATTGTGAGGGTTACAATGATTGTCAAAATGAAGCACAATGCTTTCAAGATCATCCATATTGTCCAACAAAAACGATATGTAAGTGTCGAGAATGTTTTTATGGTGATAAATGTCAATTCACTACGAAACATTCTGGTCTTTCACTTGATTCTATTTTGGGTTATCATATTCATCCACATTTATCGATAAATCAACAATCTTCACCTGTGAAAATTAGTATAATTTTAGCGTTATTAGTATTGATTATTGGTCTCATCAGTGGTATCCTATCAAATCTGACATTTCAGATAAAATCAACACGAGTAATAGGTTGCGGTCTTTATCTATATTATTCATCAATAACATCAATCTTAATACTAATTTTTTTAAATATTAAATTATGGTTTCTTATTCTTTCTCAAATGAACATTATTACTGGTCGATCTTTCCTCTGGTTCAATTGTCGTTCAATTGAATATCTACTTCGATTCTTATTAGCCGCCAATGATTGGTTACATGCTTGTGTAACAGTCGAACGATTTCTTGTTATTTTCTTAGGTGTTCATTTTAACAAGACAACTAGCAAACAGTACGCAAAACGAACTGTATGGATCATTCTTCTATCATGTGCTGCATCTATTGTTCATGATCCAATTCATCGTCGTCTAATCGATGATAGCGAAGAAGAAAGAACGTGGTGCATACTTCGTATTACACCACAAGTCGAAATCTATGATAGATTTATCAATATCTTTCATTTTCTTATTCCTTTTTCCCTTAATTTTATCTTAGCCATTGGTATCATTTTTCTCACTGCAAGACAACGTTCAGCCGTGCAGCACGAAGTCACTTTTAAACAACAATTAAGAAAACAACTTAGTCAACACAAACATCTCATTCTTAGTTCAATTTTATTGGTTATCTTGGCTGTTCCTCGTCTGGTTATTTCCTTTTTACCTAATTGTATGAAGTCACCAAAAGAATATGGGTTGTTCTTGGCTGGTTACTTCGTTTCATTTATTCCACCGATACTTCATTTTTTCATTTTTGTATTAACATCAGAAATATATAAGAAGGAGTTCGAGATTATGATGAAACAAAAATGGATAGTATTTCAACGTCGTTTAAATCCAAATTATGAATTATCATCAAGAAATTAAATGACAAAACTTTCGATTAGCCGACGATATTTTTCTTTGCTTAGTAGTGTTGCATCTTCTTTGCTTGCAAATAAAACTCGAAAAAAAAATACAAAAAAAACATGTGCAGTCATTCAAGTTTTTACGACACTTATGTTAGTTTACAAACTATTTTCATTCCGGAGGGTGAGTGTGGGTGCGTATTATACATGTCTTCATCCACGTTCACACCCTAAAGATTGAAGAAACAAATGATAAACACAATGAACCTTTTAATTAAAGCATCAATATTATCGTCATTAACACTTCGAAATGTCTCGATTGATAGTCAGTTGTTTATTGAGTTTACAAAGGAAATGTATTGATCGTCTATTACCAATGAGAAAAACTATGGTGAGATTATTCCACTTGAAGATGCCAGTGAAAGCGGATGGAGGTGAGTAATGATTCGCAAATGTCTACATCTTCACTCTTCCAGATTTGATTCAAATCTTCATTTTGATACTATGTTTTATCACAAACCAAACATTTAGAAGAAGGAACAAGAGAGGAATTATCAAAACTTTGCCGATATTGATCAGCTTTCACCAGTGACAATGGATTTTTTGAAAAAATATCTTTTAACCTAAATTGAAATTAGTTCATTGTTTATTTTCATAAATTATTTTATTTTGTAAATCATGTTTTGTCAAAATAAAAAACGCTCAATTCTACAGAGCTTATTTCGAATTTAACAGATTGTTTCAGTAACGCAGAGTTCAAATTTTTGAATTCGATCGTTATTAGAATCGCTAACATATAGATTTCCTTCAGCATCAAATGATAAATCTACGGGGCCATCCAATTGATCGGATCTTTGTCCTTGGTCATTTCCACCTACAACGACTGAACCTTGTTTATCTCCTTCACACCAACGCATTATACGATGATTGTAGTGATCTACGACATAGATGAGACCCAAATCGTCAACAAACACTCCTCGAGGGGACGACAGCTGCATGAGACTATTCCCTCGCTCATTTCCGCCAGCCACCTTAGTTCCTTCTTTCGCACCATTTCTCCATTTTACCACGCGATGATTGAAATTATCTGAAATATAAAGAGAATAATCTTTATCGACAAAGATATAAGCAGGGAAATTTAATTGATTGAGCCTATCTCCTTCGCCATTTCCACCTGCAACTAGTGTTCCATTTATTTCTCCTTCTTTCCATCGTGTGACTGTGCTCTTCTTCCAATCAGTAACATAAATAGATCCATTATTATCCATTGTCAAACCATAACAGTCGATGTTAGGAATGAAAACTTGTGGATTTGTCTGATTCTTACGAAACCATTGCATCACCCGTTTATTGTTCCAATCACAAATGATCAATGAATCATTTTGTTTGTCAAGAATTACATCTACAGGTTGAGCCAATTGATCAAGTTTATCTCCAGATTCATTTCCACCTGCAATGATTTCACCAGTCTGGGTACCAATTTTCCATTCAAGAATGCGATGATTCCGATGATCTACAATAATAATAGCCTTGTCATCAATTAAAATACCGTGAGGCTCATAGAGCTGGTCTAATTCATTTTCCAGATTATTTCCTCCGGTAATTGTGATCCCATTCTGTTTCCACTGTTTATATTTTGATTTAGTTTGTTCTAAAAGTCAAGAAAAAATGATCTTATTAAAATGAAAGAGAACGATGTATATAGTTTGAATTTATATATTATTTTTATCAGCTCTGAAAGAATTGAAGGTGTGAGCTAATGAAAAGAAGACAGAACTTTACATCTTCATTCACAACAACGTCGCTGTCGTCTCTATAATATTTTCTTCAGTTGTTACAATGTTTTGCTAATTACAAAGACATTAATCAAAATTAGTTTTCCATAACAATTATGAGAACACTATAACATTTGAACAAAACATTGCATAAAATAGGGTAATGTATCTTTTAAAAGAGCAAATTGTTTAACTCAAAATACACTAGTTTTTCTATTTAACAAATCATATGCACATAATTGTTTTCAGAATAATATCATCATACAATTTTACTCAATTCTTATTGTTCTTTCATATGAAGTATTGAATAGATACAAAATATTATAAAAAAATATTATTTTCTTCATAAGCCTACCTTCTGTTGTTTGTTTGTTCTTTATTGTTGTAATTTCTTTTATTGTTATTTCTGTTGTCACCATTGTTGTTGTTATGATTGTTGTTGATGGTTTTGTTTTGAGAATAACTATTGGAATAATTATAATCAAAACAAGAACGACAATAATACTGGAAATAATGATCCACATTAGTTTTCGGTTTTGACAATATTTCTGTCTGAAATATAAATAATTCTTTCTATTATTTCTTATAACAATACATCATATACATACAATAATCCTGATTGATTAGCTGATGGTTGTTCTAAATTCACGTTAATTTGTTCAGGCTAAAATAATTAATTAAAATAAGAACTATTTCATTTTATTTTTACAAATAAATTAAATGACAAACCTCGACTTCAATACGATCCATAGTTGATATTTTGTGCAAATATAAAACTCTTTCAATACTTTTACAATTAAATATCTAGAAATACAGATGATATAGAAAATAAAATTGTCATCTAGAGATTTTCAGTTTTCTCAAATTAATATTCATATCATATAATATCTATCTTCATTTCTGACGATAAAATAACATATGGAAAGAGAAGATTGTCTGAAAAATAACAATGAATATAAAATACGTAGGATGGAAGATAAGAAAATTATATAAAATGAGTAAGTCATGAAAAAGAAACATATTCAAATATTTATAATAAAACAACATTGATAAATATCAGGAAAGTTTTTTTTTCTATAAAAAAAACAAATACATTCTTATGAACATTCCTACAATAAATAAATTAATTAGTGAGAAGAATTCGTCTTAATTTGGAAACAATCGATCTCAAAAACTTATTCAAGTAATTTAAACAGATCCATCTCAAACTTTCAACAACAGTTTATTTCATTTATTATAAAACATTTAGTAAACGTATATTTTTTTTCTGTTCACTTGTGTAATGCAACACATCAAAGTTATTTTGTTCTATGATAAACACATATATCGTTAGATTTGTAAAATAAGATGACAGATTTCATATATTTTATAATATTAGTCATAGAAAAACGAAAGAAGTAGCATTGATACATTCAATGATCGAGTTACGTTTGTTTTCCTATTGTTTCCAATACGAAAGAAAATTCACTTTCTTTTATTCTATAATTTGTGTGTACATGAAAAGAATTTTTATTTTCATACCGAAGTATATATATATATATATATATCGGAAAGTAAGTTTTCTTTTTAAAAGACTAATTATATAATCAAGTCTTTGTGTTTGTAAACAGACAAACTTCAAATGATCATATTCATTACTCTGAACTCAGAGATACTTTATTATATTACAAGTTTATGCTAATCTGGAAAATATTTAAATTTTCGAAGACAAAAACATTTGTTGATATTAATATAGATTGGAAAATATCGAATGTACACGAAATGACTTCAATAAATTTAATGATAAACAATACTAGTAGGCATTCATTCTACTTTAATGTTCGATAAGTCAAAAGTCTTGTCTCTATTTTTCTCCAACATAAAACATGAAAAAAAATTGACTTCTAATAAATTAAACTAATGAAAGACTTTCGGACATCTTTTTGTTGAAGTCATTACAACAAACACAACATTAAAAATGATTAATAAATAAAAACAATGACGTTTTTCTTCCTTTTTTCAAAGATAATTTGTGGATAAACTGATATCAAATGTCATTTACCATCATAAGTGCTCATGATATTGAAACCCCGCAAAAAAAGAATGTAAAAGCAAACTGTTTCAGATAAAATTTAATGATATTCTCGATACTTAAAAACAACCATGAAAGTCATGAGTTTACAAAGGAAATGCAAAGTTTCCTGACAAAGACAACAATAGACTTATTTGGATAAAATATTTTGTTTTTATTTTGTATTCAGTTAGAAGAATAAATACATTGACGTCGTCTGTTGTCAGAAATATTTTTTATAACTAATTCTATTATATTTAATGATTAGTTTTCATTTGAACTTAATTCATATATCTAATAGATTAGATAGATAAGAATACAATATAATAATAAATTCTTTCTCTTCAAATTTAGTTTATATTTTCACATTAGGAAAAGTATATTATTGTGATATATTCAGCAACCTCATACAATTTCTTATCACACATGAAGTGTAGAAAGTACATTAAAAAATTGATATTATTTGGGATAACTGTTTCCATACGTCAAAAAAAATATGTCTATACCATTTCTATAGGCATTCGATAATTATGAGGATAAACAGATTTTATCAGAATTTTTGTCTTTGTAAATTACCCTTTTTTATTGATGGAAAGATGTTACAAACATTAAAAAAATTGTACGGTATACTGTACGTAGAGATAAAGAGAAAAAAAATGAAGAGAGGCATGACTACGAAGAGATCAATGTAGGTTTGTGTAGTTGGCTCTATGTTTGACGTAATATATCTGTTGAATACGTAGTCTGAGTGATGTCATTATTTGATATCGATTTTGCTATTGCTTAATTTTCGGAATATCTTGCGGATGTGAGCATAGATTAATAATAATGTGACACCCACACCCATGATTAAAGTTCATTTAATCAAGTTAATCATTTACAAAACTATTTTTTAAATTCAAGACAAATTAAATCAGATTATACAAAAGTTTGTTTTCATTTTTCATAATAAATCATTTCTGAATTAAAGCAATTATTATTGAAATTGGTTGGAAAATAGTTTTGTAAAGAATATTCATGCTCAACAATGGTATAATGGTGATCTGATTCAAAATTTAAGTGGTTTTATTAATGATAAAACTTTGAGAGTGTGGGTG